TGTTTTTCCGGGATCAGCTGTTCGCCTAGGACCACCACTGTGCCCTCCTTGGCGTTGGTTTTCTTCTTGGTTGGTAACGTGGGACGCACTTGATTCCACAGCTGTGTCCCAAGATGAATTCCCACCAACTCACCCAGCTATCCATTCTTCTGAGTTTACATTTTCGACTGCTGTTTATTTGTTGCCGGAGTGCAGACAGTTACACACCGTTACTTACATCCGAGGTTATTGTCTCACTGTTAGCCACTTAACAAGAATACATAATAATCTTCTTTTTTTTTTCAGGCACGCTGTTTACACTTGGTATCAGGCAGTATCATCAGAATGCCAATCTCTCTGGTGAACTGATGAATAACAAAGAGCTACAAAAACAACTGTATTGAATGCAGAAAAAAAACAGATATTGGTGCAACGAGAGGAGTATCAGTTGCAACGTGAAGAGAACAATTTAAAATATTGACTAAAGCGCTTTGTCGTCGCAGATGAACTTAAGTGTCTCGAAAAGTCCACTGTGAAAGGGACTGCATGAAGTCAAGGCACCCTCGAGAAAGTGTTCAAGATTAATCTTTCTGGTGGTTCCCATGGTTTCATTGTGGTACTGGAGAATCGGGGTAGCTTTTACCTGTAGAACGCACACTTCATTGGCATCCATCTGCAGGACTTCAAGTTTGTGTCGGACATAACGCATACGCTCATAGATTCTTAGCATACGAGGTGAGCCAAACTTGCAGCACATAACACACTCGTGCATCCTTATCTTGAATATACATCTGAAGTCAGATACCTACAGACCCGTCTCATCAAGTAGCTCAATGTTTAGTCCCTTGCGGTTTGTACAATTCATTCAGTGTTCAGGTGTACCATATCAGTCACAGCATTAGAAGGTGTAAGGGCTTTAGAAATATTTTATATGTAAAAGTGACTGCACCTGTCAGTAAAGCTATCTGCACATTCGTGAATTGTTAAAAAAGCATTTTGATGGTGTATGGTGTGTCTCCGTGTCATTTATCTGATTTTAAATTTTGTAATCGATTTTGTTGTGTACTCAGCATGTGTTCTACTTGCAGTGCATACTTCTGCCGTGGCCTTTTACTTGGCTGGCAGTTTTGTGAAATAAAATTGTGACTGATTTTGTTATCTTTAACGTCATCTGTGCTTGTGTATTTTTATGGAGATTTTTATCTCGCATTTGCTTGTTTTGCATTGTTCTCTGAATGACATTTGAACTTCTTTTACCTCATTCTCGGTCTATTTAAATAACCTGCAATTGCTTTACTCTTAGATTTGATGCAGACTCCCTTATGTACATCTACAAATGGTAATATGTATGAATATTGACAGGTTGAATAGAGAAATTTCAGGTTATCATTAAAACTATACAAAAGTAAAATTCGTGAGCACTCGATTAGGTGCTGAAACCGAGCGCTGGTTCCCAAGTCTGCACCAGGTTTCTACCCCCTAGGACGCTGGCCGAGGAGTCTAAAAGCAGCGTAAATCGTAATTAACAGGTTTTTTTTTGTATGACCGAATAGCACTAAAAATAAACAGTGATAAAATTACAGAGTACGAAAACTAAAAGAAAACAGAGCTTTCATTGCCAAAAACGGGTTTAGATAAAATAACGAAAAGAGTATTTATTACGCTCGGAAGAGTAGCGGCACCGCGTAGCCCCGTAGCCCGTACCGAAAGGTCCGCGGTGTTGCATATTTTTACAGCATGCATAGAATACGCACATAAATAGGTAGCGATTTTATCATTACTAGTACTGCAGTCGGCTTAAAAATGCTAGCTTAGCGTCTTCCACATCAACGCCTGCCCGATTAGGAAGAAAAAATATCTCGCATTCTAGGCCGCCTAATGTTTTTAGCGCCCGTAGGCCAAACCCCTCCCCCGAAAGCTCGCCAAGGACATATATTAAGAAGAAGTAGTGAACCATGTGAAATTGTGGAGAATAGAATTGCCATTTGGCGGTTTGATATGATGATTAAAAACGACTTGCAATTCCTGTGAAGCCGAAGGGTGGACGGACACTCACGAGACAATGACCGACAATGCAACTTGGTAGGGACGATTTTCCAAAGCACTTTCGGAATTCACGGTTAAACGAACAGACCTAGAGCGGCTTCAAGACGGTCCGATGCGAATGCGGGCTCTAAATGAGGTCACTGCCACACTTATAAGACGAAAAATGTCCACACGATCGCCATCCCGCCCGCTGCAGCTGACCGAGACGTCGAGACACTTGGGAAATTCCAGAGGGCGCCTCCGTCGAAAACCGGAAGTTAGAGGTGGGGTAAAGAGGGTTTCTTGGAGGAGAAGGGAAGAGAATGCGCCACTTTTTCCAGATACAGGGACTTTACGTTCGACGCTGCGTGACCGCCTCGACGCCAAAATGGAGCATGCCGTATTCCGCGCTAGGGAGGCTCTAGTGAGGGTGGGTGCAACTTAAAATCTGGAGAGCGTTTGCAATTTAATGGCGGCACCTGAGAGAAAGAATTGGGAAAGGATATGCGCCAATGTTGCTTGCACGAGAGCAGACACCCGCTCTGTTGCAACACTGTTGCTCCGTGCGCCTTTCCTCCTCTCGCCTCCCATTGCAAACAACGAACGCCTTGGCGCAGTCTTTCTCGCTTCCTTCTCGCTCGGGGAATCGCAAACGTGGAGAGGAGAAAGCAGGGTTGCCAGACAAGCAGCAACGTCCAAGATAGCGTATTTACCATTTTTCGCGTTAAACAAATACTTAACCTATCGAAAGAAAACTGATAGCTATGGAAAAGTAATCGTTTATACCTTGCGTAAATTATTTAAGCACGTTAATGGGCTCTTATGACCTGAGTAAGGAAATAAAACGACCCTTTCCCCCATAGACTCCCAGCAAAATTTAGCAATTGAATGGCGTCCATATCCCGTGATCCCCGATCTAGCAGTTGCACCGACCCTCACTTGAGCCTCCCTATTCCGCACCGGCAGCACCAACGACGCCGGACCAGGATGCATCACGCGCTTGCTCCCGGCAGCCCTTGCGCGGGAAGCGCGGCGAATACGAGCAATAGCAGACGACGGGAGCACCACTCCGTGTGGCGTCATGTTTGAAGAATCGGACTCGGTCGTCCAGAAGCTGATCGAGGGAATTCGTTTTCACCCGTGTGTCTACGACACGAGGAAGCTTGAGTACCGTTACACGGACAGGAAAGGCAATGCTTGGGAGGCCATTTGGGAGCTGTGCGGTCTCCCCACAGGTAAGGTATTTCGTTGCTCCGCACATAACGTCTGTGCTTACTGCTGTGCTGTGTTCCGTTGCTGCAGCAGGCGCGATCATGTTTTGTAATTTGCTTTAAAGGGGAAGCTTTATATGAAAATGCTCCACTCACCTTTCGTGGTTAGCGTGGCGATCGTGGCCGGAAAAAAAAAGAGCGTATACGCAGCGGATTTTCTTTGCTAGGGATAATCCGTCGTGGTAGTTGAGGGCTGGGTGAGCACGGGCAGCGACTTTGCGCTATCCACTTGTGCTGATATAGATTCTAAACAAAAGGCAATGTGCCCCAAAGAAAATGTATAGAAATGAAGAAAAGCGTGCGCGTAAGCGAAGGCTGGCGAACGTCGAGTGGGCCCGACTTGGACGTGCACCAACAGTGCAAGCGCGAGTTTTCGTCCTGCAAGATACGTCCACGCCATCGCTCGAACTTGGCGCTCAAGAAGCACGAGAATTCGCGTCTGCTTTTTAAAAGGTTCGAAACGAAAAGGCGCCAGAAATGGCGCACTCTCGCAAGAAACGTGCCCTTGTAGTCAGATTCTGCGCAACCGAAGCGCGCCGCGGGGTGACGTGACATAGCCGACTTCGGTCAGCGTTCGCTGGCGCGCGCGTTACGTCGGAGTATAACAGAGCCTTTAGTCTTATCACCCAAACTGATGCCCCTGACTAGCATAGTTGACCACAGTAGTCGTTAAAATAACATTTACCGTGCTTTTGGATAAAAAAAGAGGCCTGCCTCATACTCGGTGTGGACTATTTTGTGAAACAGTGTCAAGCATAGCGTATATGTTCCACGGTGACGCAGCTTCGCCCTGCTGCGAGCGCAAGGGCAAATGTTGCATTTGCGCGCGCTGGCGCAAGTAGTTTTTAAAGCGATGGAGCACAAGTGAAGCTATGGACTTGACAGCGTAGCACGCAATACTTGGCGCAGAGTAGACATTTTGTCAAATGCAACAGCGGTGTGATACTACTTAGTGTTTTTTTTTTGTTTAAGAAGTAGAACCTTACCCCTGGGTTTAACGGAGATTTATACCCGCTTAACTTAGTGGGACAATCGCGACTTCACTCCACGTGACACCGTGGCGTCACGTCACTCCATGGTCTAACGTGACGGCAAAGCATCATGTGACGGTGTGATGTCACATGTCACCGCAATGTCACGTGACGTTGTGACGGCATGCGGTCCGACCAACACGAGCAGGAAATCTCTCGAGAGAGAGTTCTAGTTCGCGTTAATTGCGTCTTACCCTGCACGTCGCTCTGGACCGCTCTCTTCTTCCGGTTCTTTGAATTTAGTATTCTGGCCATGTTGGTAGTCCCGGTATGCTTATTATCGCTACGCACTCGATAAAATTTCTGTCTTAATTGTGTCGCAGATATCGAATTTCGTATACGGTTTTGGCATTGGATGTCAGAAAAGTACCGATTGGAGCCCTTCGATGATTACTGACAAATGCCTGTAACCTTCCAGCTGGGAGCCGGTCTTTCGCTCAAGACTCTCTTCTTGGAGGTGGAACTCCCTTCGATCATGACCGTGGGCCAATTTATGCTTCATATGCCCGAAGATTCGACGTAAACCCCGCAGGAGCGAGAGTCATTTAACGGGCCCAGTGGCTTCGAGGCATATCTCGGCTTCCGATCTGCTGGAACAGAAGACTTGACCGCGCAATGTAAAAGGAAGCCGCGTTTGCTTCGGCAATGAAGCAGCCCATGAATCTACTTCATGTCGTTAGTTAATATCACGAGATCGGTATAAAAGAAAAAAATATATCTTATTCATTTGCACAGAGCGGACGAACTCGACTCACCCGTAAGCGTCAGTTCATGGTGCACTTTACCTTGTCCCTTATAGACCTTTGCAAAAATCCCCCTCTGCTCGCCGCCATCTTTGTCTGCTGGGCTGTGGAACGCATTCTGAGAATGTGCTGTTTCTCTGGTGTGCGGTGTATCGGACGCTGCGCATGCGTCCGCAGCTCAGTGACTCAGCAGTTTTTGCCCGGGTGACAAGCGATAGAAAGGTCGATGCTGTGTCTTTCGTGTTAAGGCCGGCCCTAAGCGATCCGGTGGAGCCAATCAAACAGTGGCAAGTGTGCATCATCGTGGTGCTCGTCGTCTTTGTGCGTTTACTGTTTCCAGCCAATCATCTACAAAAAAAGAGCGCCAGGTCGTGGTGTTTTCACTGTGTGATTGGGTCAACCGGTGAGGCCAAACGCAGAAGGACAACGAGGGCCAAGAGGATGCAGTTTCGACGCGGCTTGATCGGCTACGTCGCATCATAGCGTTGGCTTCGGTCGCACTTAATGTGAAACAGAGCATAGAGCTTTGCCTTGCTTATCACCCAGGTTAAAAATGCGGAGTCCCTGAGCTGTGGACGCATGCGCAGCGTCTGATATACCGCACAGCAAAGCAACAGCGCATGCTAAGGCGTTCCACAGCCCAGCAGACAAAGATGGCAGCGCGCGGAAGGCCGATGTTTGCAAAGGTCTATAGTTTTCTCTTCACGTAGGACTCGGCAAAAGCGTCTTCCTGAGAAATGGAAAGCTAAGCCACATTCACGGGTGTCGACAACGTTCGTTGGTTCGGGAAATTTGGCATAGATATACGTTCGTCGGTTTTCAGTCCTGCCCGTTGTCTGCCTTACAGCATGTAGTAAACACACGTCGGTTCGCCGATACGTCTTGCGGAGGCAGGTCTTGCGTTTCTTGTTTAGAGTCGTGCTGTCCAATGTTGAAGGAGGGACACGCACGTCTCGCGTCCCGCGACACAGTTCCCGATTGTAATCGTCCGAGGGAGGTTATCTTTCAAAGAACCCCGGCCGTTGTTGCCTGTGTGACGTTCATCGGCGCTGTTGAGAGAGTACTGTTGGCAGGCTCTGCCCATGCAGGAAACTGCGATAGGTTGAAGGCCCATTCTCCTAGCGTATTAATGGCCAACACTTCGATGAGGATGCAAGCGACGTTCATCACGAAGCCTGTTTTGACCTAAAAACAGAAAAAGGAAAATGCTTCGGTGATATATTTACCCCAAAAGACAGGACGCTGCCAAGATCGTGGGCCGAGATGGCATTGTTCACAGTCGCTGTGCGTAAGACAGTCATATGGCTGTCTCAAGTATTTCCACTGACAAGGTGCTTAGACATGTTACTTTTTTAAAGTTTTCAGTGGCGCATATACTTCCAAGTCACATTAGATACCTTATAGGAAGAATTGTTTGCGTGTAAGATTTGTACCTCAACATAAGCTTCGGAAACGCAAAATGTGTTCCTCAATGTAAACGGCACAAGATCTAAGTACCAAGTTTAACCCTGAATATTAAAATACCTAATGGATTGGGAAGGTATTTTCCCGCTGAGCAAAATAATAACAATCCTGCAGGGCAACATGTGACTATCGAATAAGAATGTTCCGGACTATGGTAAAATATCAAAATAACATAAATTAAAAAGAAAAAGTCAGAGAAAGAATAACTGTACACACTATGGTGGTGCCTCGAACGTCTTTAAATAATTTCAATCGTGATAAAAAGCAAGCAAACCATATCCTCACGGGGTTAAAACGGATTGCACATTGTACACAACCAGAATCGCAGATGTCCTCTTGATTCATTCCCTGCGGAATCAATGTAAAACCAGTAAACATAAAAATAAAAAATAAATTATAAAAAAGAAACATGGAGAATGCACAACGTTAAAGAGGTACGGAAAGGCCACGACAGTTTGTGGCTCGACGTTGAAGCGAGCGATATGCAATCAGCACTGGGTGATACACGGCAAAGCTCTCATGTTAACAGTCCTGCTCTCCAAGCCAAATTGTGTCTATACATCGGTAAATGTAAAACGCGAGCTCAATGCATACTGACTTTCATTTGTATAAACATCTGGAGGCGTTGGGATTCTTACACGATACGGAACATTTGGCATCGTTGTTTCAAAGGAGGTAACATAACTCGGCAACGAAGGCGTAGAGTTTAGAAAGGTGCTTTGTTACACCACCATGGTGTGTACAGTGAAAATAGGCGTATACTTTAGAAAGGTGAATTGGGAAACAAACACTGTCTGTTTGCTTCCCAATACACCATTTTTTACCGCCTCCGCGACGCTGGGCTTTCGTTTCGACTTTTGCAGTGCAAGAAGGCTTTATTCTAAAGTCTCTTCCCCTTGGAATCCTTAGGGCGTGGAATCATGTACAGCTTTATCATATATACCAATTACTACTAATGTTTTTTTTTGTTTCACGTGAAAGTCCTGTTGCAAACTCTTGCACATTATATTTAATACCTTTTCAGAATAACTATAACGTTTCTTCCGGTTCCTTTGAATATTTCACCCATGATATTTTGTACTACAAGGAGTGTCACTGAGTCACCCCATGAGAGATTTCGTGTCGACTGAAGCATTAAAGCTGTAGTGAGAATATGGTATAGTTTGACCACAGGCGGGGTGAGCATCATACGGAAGTGAGAAAATAAAATGACATATCAATGATGAAGACAAACATACCATGTCACTGAGCTTCATATTTCCGTGTTCGTAGACCATAGCGTTGGGCGGTGTTGCCACAGGGAGCATGAAGGCGAATGACGCCGATACGGTGACCGGGATCATCAGGTAGAGTGGGTGAATTCTCAGAGCCTGAGCCTGGGGTATCCGGTGGAAAACCGAAATAAGAGTGGTTAAAAGCAAATAAGTAAATTCTTGTACATCCAGCTGATCGAACGCCCAACACTGATTGCCACCATGTCGGAACTAGCATTCCATCTACCACTTCAGGCTTCACATATTGTCTGTTCAAAATTATTCATTTTCGTCGATTGCTGACGCTCAAAAATGGTTGCTAGAAAGGTAACCATGTTGAATATACCTGAGACTGGGGTAGAAAAACATAAAAGTCGAAGAAACAGAACGGGACAGGACGACGTCTCAACATGGTTAACATCCACCAGCTCGCCTGCACCCTTACTATTGTATAGCTAGAAAGGTCCACGATTAAACTTTCCAAGCCGGACACAAAATACTTGAAGAACAGGCTCAATGAGCACAGACGTTTAATCTATGTGCCATGATGAATACGTCTACGCCTCGCTTCGTCGGACGATCCAAGCCAGCACTGTGAGCATTCGTATTGGACAGGCTTCGTTTTACTTTGATACATCTGCGGACAGTTTTTTTTTAATGTTAATTTGTAGTCACTGACAGGACTAGAATGGCAGGAAATTTCTTCAGTTGTCTCGCCTCCAACGCAAGTTTCCTACTTTCGATAACGTTTGGGCGTCTCGTGAATATCGAGCGTGTACGCGCAGTCAATGTAGGGGCGAAATCAACGAGCGCAAGCTGAAGGACTGACATTGGAAAGAGAGAGCCTGCCGTTCAAACCCTGTCAGTGACAACAGTAACAGTAAGCCGTGAGCAAAAAAAACAAAAAGGAACGCATTGTTGAGGAGTAAGTATGGGACGCACCAGGTAGCTGGTGATTGGCAGCAGGACGCTAGCGGTGGCGGTGTTGCTGGCGATTTCTGTGACTACGCAGGTGAAGATGCAGAGGACGGTGACCAAAATAATCGGGTGCAGGAAGTCCAGGCGCGTCAGGTACTGGCCAATCATCACCGACAACCCGGAACTCTGGGCAGGAACATGTTTTGCTATTTCTCTCCTCTCGTATCTTGATCTACTAACAGTTACTGTCGTGGGGACCATAAACCAATTTTATTTTTAACATCCTGCTACAAATTCTAGACAACTTGCAAGATATTAACACAGAATATGTTTCATCAAACTGATTTTATGACAAACCCGTCACGAAGAACCGTCGCAAAAAATGATAGCCGTTTACAACTCCCTGTAACGCCGAATTAGAGCGCAGCTCTTGAGGAGGAGGAGGGAAGGGTACTGAGGGGAGGGTATACCCCTCCTTTCTCCTCCTCACCTCCTCATGCTGCCTGCTACTCCTCCCTCCGATGGGCGTCGCCGTCGCCTCACGAGGGTCACGGGACCCCTGTGAGGTGACGTGACTGTGACGATGATATCATTATAATGACGTCATCGTCATCGTGATCACGTCATCAGTGACGTCACGTGACGTCGTCGTGATGACGTCACCGTTATTGATGACGTCATCAGTGACGTCACCGATGACGCCATTGTCATAGATGACGTCCTCAGTGACGTCACAAGTGACGTCAGCATCACTGACGACGTCATCATCACTGATGACGTGATCGTCATCGATGCCGTCACCAGTGACGTCACGCGTCGCATAATTCACCGCGCGGTTACGCCGACGTTACTGTTAGGCACCCGTTTCCGACTTGAGCAGCGTCGCCGTCGACGCTGCTCAAGCCGGAAACGGGCGCCTAAGAGCTGCGTTCTAAAAAGCCATCACGTCAAATTTCCCGAAAAAGTAGTGGGGGAGTTAGTGTCACGCGACCACGTCATGTAACAAAGTATCGTGACGTCATGTGACCTGAAGTCAAGTGGCGCCAACCTCCGGGCTATATTTAGCGAGGAAAGTGGACACGTGACATCCATTTTCTCGCTAACTTTAGCGTGGAAATTGCTTATCTGTTTTTATCAGCATGATAAAGGCTCGCGTCATTTTCTCGCCATGCCAGAGCTTTGTTCTCATCGGTTTTTGTGAGCCTAATAAAGGCTTGGGACATTTTTTCGCCGTGTCCGAGCTGCTGTTAAAACTACAGAATAAAAATTGTTCAGCTGTGGGGACCTTAATTCGCGAGCAGCACGAGTAGGTACATATTCTAACGTCGATTCGTGTGGGCAGGGCTCACAGTAACACGCCTGTGTTCGCAATACCAGAGCAGGGGCTGTGCTTCACACGTTGTTAGAATTCGGTGGTTTTTGCCTCTGTGCGAATTGGCGACCAACCCGAGCCCTGATGTTCGTTTATGTGAGTCTTGTCTCGAGACAAGGAGATAAATAGAACGCGTAAGCATGCTTTTTTTCCCATTATCTACAGTTGAACCAACCCAATCAACACGAACATTCGCTGACCTTTTGATCGTCACCGAACGCAGGCCAGGAGATCACGCGGGACTCGTCTACAATCCGAGGCCCACATTCGCCAAGTTATAAAAATAAAATCAACTCTTACTTTTGTTACTCAACTACGAAGCTGAAGCGCATGACTTTTTTTTTGCGTACTAGTGTGCTTTTTCCACACTACACATTATAAAGCCCGTAAAATTTTAATCTAAAATATTTTTATGGTCCCTTTAGAATCCGACTTTTCGTTTCATCCAGAACACAACCGTATTTAAAAATATAAAATAAGGAAATCTTAAAAAAAAAAAAAACTAGATTGTTGGGCTAGTTTGTAATCAGCATAAAGAAAGAAAGAGCCAGAGGGATGGGGCGAAGTAGGAGAAACAAACACACGCGCACAGGAGGGGTGCTAACTGGCAGCTATTGTTTGTTGAGAAATTCCAAGATCACAAAAAACTAACAGCTATTCAATTCCCCGGTAAATATAGCGGGAAAATTGACGTCCCGTTACCTCAACACCAGTTCAGTTTTCCCGCTAAATCTAGCGGGGAAAAGGACGTCACGTGACTTCGGGTCATGTCACCAATGAACAAATTCATTTTTTCCGCAAAGTTTAGCGCGAACATTTACGCCACGTGACCTCAACATCAATTCAGTTTTCCTGCTAAATTTAGTGGGGCAAAATGACGTTGCATAAGTTGGTGTCACCCCACTCATGCAAAAAACAAGATCAGTTCCTCTGCTAGATTTGGAGGGAAAATTGACGTCAAGTGATCTCAACAGCTATTCAATTCTCCGCCAAATTCAGCGGGGTATTAATTGTCGTATAGTTGACGTGGCGTCAATTTTCAGGAAAATTTAGAGGGGAAATTGTGGTATGAGGGGAGGGTATGGAGGAAGAGGAGGAGGGGAGGGCACTGAAAAGAATGATGGAAGGTTATGCAGGAGGAAGAGGGGAGGAGGAAGATTAGGGAAGACGAAGAGGATGGTCGGAGGAGGACGGAAGAGGAGGAGAGGGTACGGAGGAGGAGGTGCATACCCTCCCCTCCGTACCCTCCATTCCTTCTCCTCAAGGGCTGCGCTCTAAGTTCGCGTTACAAAGATTTGTAAACGTCTTTCATCTTTTGTTGATAAACAGTTACGTAGTAACACGTGAGTCATGCGAGTACGCGACACAAGCAGGCATGACTAGATTCGGGTACGCTTACAAAGGCTATTCATCGATAATGGGCTTCAGATCTTTGTTCACCATATGCACTAAGCGGCACTAATACAGGAGCCCTGGTCGCGTGCATTTATTTCCATCGCCTCAAGAAACTCCCTTCCCACCCTCTCTTTGCAAAGAACAGTCACAGTGTGCACTGGAAAGTGAGCACCGTAGTGGTTGTCGAGTGAGGCCGCGTGCACTCGCAGTCTGGCATTCGGGCAACGCCTGGTTTGACCTGTATAAACACGCCCACAACCTAACGCAATCTCATAAACAACCTCAGTAGCACATGGCACAACGTCTTGGAGTGTTTCTTGACACAGGCAGGTTTCTTTGCCAGTTAGCGCCTGTCCTGTGTGTGTGTGTTTCTCCGACTTCTTTCCGTCCTTTATGCACTTTCTTTCAATATCGCTTCGAAAGACCCTTCTATTTGATTAGATTCGTTGGCGAAAGCATATGGAACAATCCGGTGGCTTTAAAACTCTTAGGCAGCCAAATGAAGAATGACCTTGCTATAGTCGGATACAAGTTAAAAATGCGCGAAATGAACCATACCACGTGCCAGTCATGCCATTGAATCACTCTGCAAATCAACCAGCGAAGACAGCAGCTTCAGCGAGTTAGATGACGTCAGTTCAACGTGGGCTTTAGTAGTGGACTACCTACCCATTGCGAAGCAACAGTGAATGGCGGCAATGAGAGTGAAAGAGGAGCTTCTGGAACTTTCTTAACTTGTATTTCGCCGTCGTTGGAAGGTCGGGCTTACGAACCTTTGACGCCTCCGCCATTGAAAAGCTTCCGCCCATGAGAAGCAGCACTCCCCAGGGAATTTTCCTTTGAACTACGTGCCAGGCAAGTAGAGAAGATCCCCCGGGATCGGCCACCGGCTTTGCCGGAATCAAGAACAGTAGCAACACCATGAGCATGGCAGGGGTAGCGTCCTTAATATTCCTGTTCGGAAAAATATATTAAGCGTTCACATGCTTTCACTAATAAAGATATGATAGTTATATGTTTCTAAAAGTTTTTTTAATAATAATATTAATTTTTATTGTCCTTTTTTACAATACAGAAAATTGGGTCCGTCAAAGCCTAGAGGCTTGTACGATGTGGCCCGGCAGCCGCGAATAGTTATTTATACAATGCTGCCATTTGCGTTAAAAAACAAACAAAACAACAACAATACGTCAATGACAAGTTCACTCACTTTGGAAATATACATAAAAATAAAGAAAAAAATGATATCTTGTTTCCTCATTATTAGAATCAAATAGTTGACATACAACATATCACGCCCACCGAAAAAACGAGAATGTTCTCTTTTTATAAGAACCAAACAATAAAACGACAACTTTTAACCGTAAGCATTTGAACAAAACAATTCTGCCTCGCAATACAACAGATTTAGACTACAAAGATAAGGTGAAGTAATTTATAAAAAAAACATATGTATATAAAAATGTTTATATCTGATTTTGCAAACACCATGTTCTAAATTTGTTTTTAAATTCTTTTTGAAGAGTTTAAACTAATGAGTTCTTCTGGTATCTTTTTGAATATATAAGGGATATAGAAACTCCTAATTTTTTTTTTCGTTATGCGTGTTTATTCTTGGCAAATAGTATCTTTCTATATTTCTGAGAGGCTTTTTCTGTACCGGATGTTTGTATTCTGCTCCAGAGAAGTAATTTGTTATTATAACCATATAATTAAAGTACTCAACGGCATTATATTAAATGCTTCAAGTTTGTTGATGAGGTCTGAGTGTTGAACCTGTGTACTATATGCAATATTGTGTGGGGGCCGCGAGGTCCTACCACGTTATTTAAAGTGAGGACATTGAACGAGACAAGCGAACGACGTGTCTGCCTGTGATGGCAGCTTCAGAGCATTCTCTTCCACGAGCTCTTTGAGGCGCGTGCGCGTGCTGCGCCTCGAGCCATCTCTTTTATTTTGATAAGAAGGGATCTGGTGGGTGCGTTGCACCCTACAATTGTTTACTATCCTATATATAAGTTTATCTACGGTTTGTAATCTGTTATTTGAGCTGGATCCATAACTCAAAATGCCATATCTCAGTATAGACTCTCCTAAGGCACAACATTTTTCTTTACATGCGCACATGCTGAAGTACCAATGCGATATATAAATGATGAGAGAGTTCTTAATCTTTCTTTTAATGCAGTCAATGTGACATTCCCAAGTCATGAGTTCATCGAAATTTAGTCCAAGATATTTTGTGCTAGCCTCATATTTCAATTCAGTATCCTGCATCCCTTTGTTTCCAGGAAGGAATAAAGAACGATTAAAAAAAACACGCTTGTGGGGATTTCCCAAGCACAGTAATTTTGTCTTTTTTGAATCTACAAATATATGATTTTCAGTAAACCAATTTGCTAATCTATTCATGTCGCTTTGGAATATTGTCACTGCCACTTCATAGTTTTCACGTGGAAAAATTAAAGCCGTGTCATCTGCATACTGAAATAGCGTCGACTGAAATTTTAGGTTTCCCAAGTCGTTTACAAAAATATTAAATAGCAAGGGGGCCAAAGAAGACCCTTGAGGTATTCCATGATTTATATATACTTCCTTCCTAATATTTTGTTTTATATTAAAACATTGCGTTCTATTTGAGAACTAGTTTTTAACAAACTCGAAAATGGTCCTCTAAAACCGAACGTGTGCAAATTCTCAAGCATTTTTAATGATCTATTGTGTCAAAAGCTTTCGATAAATCTAATCTAAGACGCCAGCCAGTTCTGTTATTGTAGTATTCTGCGTTTTGCCTATATATTTGTTTTTATTAACAACGAGAATTTTGTACTAAACATCCTTTCACATGGGATGGAAATGACTCAAATGCTATGGATCCGTGTCAAACCCACGAAGGATTCACTTTTGACAGACTGGTTGATTAAGAAATTCGTCGGAGATTCATCCATTCATCAATTAATCGGGAGGTTACCCGACTATTTCACCAGTTGTACTTAAAAGTATATACTTCGTCTCACCCTACGATGGACTAAAGGCAAAAGCTACGGACCGCCAAATCTAATCACTAGCCATTTGGAAATTGTGCGGTATTTTGCTTCGATGCACGTATCGGTGCCCGCGTCTTGGACCACTGGTGAGGGGACGGGTGGAAGGTGGTTCGAATTGAAGAGCACTCAGTGACTCAACAATTTTACATCGCAAAGAAAGCCATGACATATAGGCCCTTTGCAGCGTCGAAGCTATAGAAATGATGCGGCCCTTTTGGATTCGCGAGCAGAATTCGTCCACCGCTAATCAATGCTAAGGGTGTCATAGTAGCCTGGGACGTGAATGGACCTGGCGGCCCGTGGCTTTCGCATTTAGTCCATCGTAGGATGAGACGAAGTATAGTAACATTAGCGCAAACGACCAAACCACTTCTTATTGGTGCAATTGATTACACGTTTTTAAAGGCGGCGGCACGAGAAAACTGCTCCCGTATGTCACTCACTTTCCAAGTGGGAAGAAGGAGGCCCATCCTGTCACGACGTAGGGGTCACGAAAAAACCATAGCAACACTGTGACAATAAAAATTGCAAGGACACCAGCTTCGTGGAATCTGCCGATAGGAAAAAGAGAGACACCGTTTCACCGTATATTGCGCCTCACAGTCCCTTTCATCTCAACGTGAATTCCAGCAAAATATCGGCTGCATGAAAGTCTGTTTTAGGGTATATGGCCTTTCGCGGACAGTTATCTGTTTCCACCTGGAAACTACTAAAATATTACACCCTTAAGGGTGCAGGACAGGTGTTGTAGAGGCGTACGCTTATGGGATTTCAGCACACAAATTGCGTTGCGTATTTATACAGCCGAAAGTTAGTCAGCCCTAGTGGGCGTCCGGCGTCTCAGATGTAGAAAAGAAATTTAGACAATTAAGCCAGGTTTAGCTACTGCTCGGCGGGGTTTTTTAACGTGCACCACGCAGTAGGGATGCACGACCGCAAGCCTGTACGATGCTCACTCAGATCGGAACGGGCAAGGGTCGGAGTTTAAACCTGGATCCCTGGGTCCTGTGGCGCGAAACCTTTCGCTCTACGCGCTTCTGGCTGCGGTGTGTTAACACAGTTGGACCGCCGATCCCCTTCTTTTTAGCACCCTTCCTTGAGAAACACACCCTTTTTTATCAGTAATATAAAGTGCTTTGGTGTGAAACACCCTCCATTTTCGACAGGCACACGAAGGGCGTGAAAATGGCTACTGCAGTGATATTAGGCGAAAACCCTTTTCGAATGGTGTTTGCTACATTAACATTTGCCTAAAACAGCTTCAGTCGAAGTTGTTTCAGTGACTATGCCGAAATATTCGTGCCTTTACCAATGAATTTTACTTGGAGGTGCACTCCTTGAACTGCTTCAAGTAAAATATTGATACGAAGAAAGCTACATATTTGTAACTTTCGCAGATGCGGAAACAATCACCTGCGAATCAGTGTCTCTGAATCGTCGAGTACATGAGACGGTGAACCGAGGTTGTGTTTGCTCTCTTGTGCACGATTTATTGCGTTTGTGCTTGTTTTTTTTTTTTTTGTGACTGTGAGCGCTACATGCGGTGACTGTTGCTTGTAAACGTATCATAAGTGTACCCCCGGAGCCTGCCAAGATAGGCAGAACAATTTTTAGGAAGTTCACCAGCATCCGTGGACAAACGCTTTTGCACCCTTAAAGGTACACCGCAAGGAAAAGCTTTTCTGTTTTTTATATAGGGCATAGATAGGACACGTTCATTTTAAAATAATTTATCACGACATCTTTTTTTTTTTGCGCAATATTTACGCTGTTAGATGCAATTTAGGTGGAGGTCACATTACGCTCTAAGCCGCGCCCGCAGACCTGTGGGCCCGCCCAATACCACTGGCCTGGCTTGGCTGCTCGACCGAAAAGGCTAATAAATGTAATGCCTCCCATTCGCGTCATTCGGTGCGTCTAGTCTGGAAGTCTAACACCACCTGCTAGTCGTGCGAGCAGACGAGTGGCAGCCCCAGGCATTGTCTGCTTTTTCACCGACGTTTATCGTCGCTTGCGATGCCGTGAGACGCGGACACAAAAGCTGCGCTTCGGCGTCCGTTTTCGCGTCCGCCTGTCTGCTATTTATTCACCGTCTAAAAACTTCTGCAACGCCCAGAAGCGACTATGAAAGTGGCGTTCTAGTGTTTCTTCATTCACGAGTCACGGTTCAATGAAAGCGTCTGTCAACGTCTATCGATGTATATAATTCACGACAGAGAGAAATATACAAATCAACAAAATAAATACGCAGTCTTTCTAGCTTTCTGTTCTTTTTATTTTATCACATGACATCCGCGAACAAAGTCGGTAAGCGTCGTGACGCACAACTAAAACTCGACGTAAAGATATTCGCTCTGGTAGGCCAGGTGTACCGCAAAACTTGAAAGCTCCTTTCGAGGCCGAATAACGGGAACACACCTAGAAAAACTTGACGCGAGCCGAACGCCCGATCGCCTCCAACCAAATGGCTCGCAATCTCTTATCTGTGAAGGTTTCTTCAGCTTATTGAAACCATGATCGCAATCACGACGGCTGCACAATTCACAAAGCAGCGGGGTCGCTTTTAGTGGAACCAACATCTTCATACAGCATCAACACACGCAACGAAGGATATCAAGCCAGATTGATCAAAATAGTTGATCTAGGGCGCTAGGTTTAGGCTAGTCCCGCTACGATAACAAGCATCCGCGCAGCGCTTTTGAAGGCGCGTACTTGCGGCACTTGTTGGTAGCAATCTACGTCGGTTGGGGGGATCTTCCTCTAAACACGTCTATGAAGTTAAAGCAACTCACACTCATAAAAATTGAAGAGCTCAGCGAGCTTTGCTCTTTCAGCACTCCGCAGACCCCGGCAGCCATTTTGTTAAAAGTTCAAACGCAATCGCGTAGAAGCCATCTAGGAATACATTTAAAACAATATTGACTCTATCTGGATTATTTGCTTCTCAAACATATAAAAATAGTCGATAAAAATTCTATTACTGCACTGGGATACAAATTTACAAACAACCTTTCACACGTCAATCATCTCTCCAGCTAATGAGAGAGGTAAGCACCTTGGAAACACGGGGCGGGGCTTTGCGGACTGCGACCTCCACGTTCTGCACCTAAATTGCGTCTAACGGCGTAAATAATCCTCAAGCTTCTTTTTTTTCTCGTTAGATCAATATTAAAAAAGGTCCCATCTATGGCTTTAAAAAAGTATTTTTTTTTCTTGCAGTAAGGGTGTAAACGTATTTGTTGTTGTGTGCCCATCCTTTGCTGCAATCCACGGGTACAAGACGAATAAGCATACTTACGAGATCGGCCCCAAATCGTCATATCGCTTCCGTATGGCCTGTCCGACAGCCTCGTGGTTCAGCTGTCCGCTACGGAATCTAAAATCAACGAAACGTTAAGCTCTAAAATGTGATTCGGTACAGTCGAGCTAGAACCCCCATGAATTCCTTTCGGTATGGCTTGAAGGCATGCGTCGTGTACGCCACAATTGACTGTCAAAGACAGAATATGCTAAACGAGGTTTGAAAGATATACGAGCTCAAGCAACATTATCATGTGAAACTTTTTTATATTACATGCAGCAGTAGATTCGACAATCTAGCTGAAGACTAGAGGTCGCCATTGGAGTCTGATTTGCAGACTTTTTATTTTCTTTTGAGCTCCAGTTACACGATTTTTCGAATATGCACGTGAGAATATCATTGCGATATCCGCATTCAAACATTATGTGAGTTGAAACCGCATAATATGTCAAACCAGTGAAATTGGTAATTGTGGTGTACGAGTATTCTCAGCAATCTTTGCCACGTAAAATGCGTGGTAGCACCGCGCGTCTTATGTGCCGGCTCGTCCAAAGAAAGTTGAGCTGGTTCATAAAAAGAAGCCTAGGTTGTATCTTCCAATCAGTATCGCTGCAAGCAGCCCGCTAATAATAATATTAATATTTTCGAAACTTTTTAAATTGGCAATAGTAAATTATTTTGCTGTAATCATTGCAGATGACGGAAGATTGGGAATCCATAAACGTTTGAGACCTGAAAAGGACATTTTTCTTTATTGCAATTAAGTCGCTTTTCTTGGGAATTTATCACTTAGCAAAACGCAGGTTGAAAGGCTAAACGTTTCAGGGTATTTTTATAAACTTTTCTAAGAAGGGTATCGTTCCTTCGAGTATTATATGAAGCGCTACGAAGATCAATTAATGTAGCTGTTAATTGTTTTTAAAACATAATTAGAGCAATGTTCTAGGAATACAGACCTTTTCGGTATGAAGTGGAAGTACAGATAAAGCCAGGCGCATATCACGCACAGGATCATAGGTGGAACGTTGTAAATCATCCAAGTAGCGAAGCTGAGCGTTGCCGAATTTGGATACAATCTGGGAAAATGTTAGGTAAACATAAGTATTGGGAAACATAATTCAACACCTGAAAACAAATATATGTTAGGTATAATTCTTGTTTGTGAGTGGAAAAGGTACCGCCACATGTAAGTTAATTATTTTTTCTATCTAACGCACATCTAACAGATTCATAAAATATGTTCACAATATTAGCGCAACAGAAAATAAAATTACATGTTTGCTTTTTGCACATTGGAGATTTTCATCCCGTGTTTTTAACCTACTTTCACGTCTTTGTCTTTTAAATTCCAGGCTCTGTGAGTATTTGATTTGCTTGAGAAGGCTGGAGAGTGAACCTGCCTCCACAGCGTTTTGTTGTAGCCGCTAGCAGACGTTGATATCGTTGGAGTTCCCAATATTAGTTGATATCAGCCTAGTGTGCTCATCAGCGAGGAGGAGACGCACGACCTGGTGCTTATCTATTCATTAATGTTCGCATAAACGATAAGAACAGCAATCATTGGTAAATAGCTTTCAATAATGCTATCAATGCAGCAAAAATACCACGAGGACTATAAAGAGAGGAATTCGAGGTGCGATAAAAAAAGTACAGGGATAAGTTTGGTCGAGTAAAAAAAGGTAGCACGGCGACGCACGTGCAGCTGTCAAAGGTCTTCATAAAGACCTTCATATGTCATTATGTCAAAGGACGTCGTTCTTCGAACATTTAGAGCTACGCTAAATCAGTTTTTATGAACTGCGCGAGCCCATTGGCGATCTTAGCATAGACTGCAAACCAGAGCAAAACTCCTACAAAAGTGCCGTTTGGGCTAGCGTTTGTTGACGTTACCTTCTGCCTCATTTCGCCCTACAGCTGTTCAACGACAAGCTGACATTTCTAGTTCTTTGTAATACTTTTATTCGTATTGTTTTCACGTGACTTTAAAGTCATGTCGGAGCGAACGACAAGACGCGCCTTACTCTTCAACGAGTCCCATGATGATTAGATTGGGAGCAGTTCCAATGACGGAGCCCGTTCCACCGATGTTCGCAGCATACGCTATTCCCAGGAGCATAGCGTGACGAAATCTGGAGGTGTTGGCCTCCCACCTTAACAAGACCAAATGCTGAGTTAGAAAAACGAAACACGGCTCTGGTCAATCACAGCGGTCAGCGAGCTTCCTCGCCAAGTGCCCAACTTAGAGCCCTAGGTCATACCTCCTGGTATAAACCGGACATGATAGTTATCAAATTAACATTCACCTCTGCTCGCTTTCCTTGGTATGCAGCTCGAGGCTCTCCACGCTGCCTTGCCCGTTTTCCTCCCGGAAGCCATCGTTAGTGTACGCAGTCTCTTGGGTTCCTGCGGATTTTCCTTGGTGGTAAGATATCACTGCAGCTACTATGACGTCTCAAGTGGGTTGTCTCAGATTAAACAAAGAAGTTTTGGGCGACAAAAATACCTTATTGAATCGCTACGATGAAAAGCACAATACATTTATCGTCACCGGTACTTTCTGGTCAGTCTTTGTACGAGGGTGATTCAATAAATAAGGTGAATTTTTTTGTATAAGGACTTCTAATACACATAGAAGCTTAATTTTTAGTTATTTTTATTGTTTTACTACTTTTCCACGTGGATTTAATTTCTTATGCAGATTACAAACAACACTGTGAGAATTTAACCGAGTAACAAAGATGGCTGACCAAGAAGCATGCTCCAGGATTGAACAGCGGTCAGTTATCAAGTTTTTGGTTGCTGAAGGGTGCAAACCCGTTGAAATTCATAGGAGAATGTCAACTGTGTATGGTGCCACATGTTTCAGCCAGAAAAATGTCTACAAGTGGGCTAAATTGTTTAAAGAAGGACGGAGCAGTGCTGAGGATGAAGACAGGCCTGGGAGGCCTACAGAAGTGAGATCTCCTGAGGTGATCGAATCAGTCAATGACCTCATTCGGTCTGACATGAGGGTGACAGTGGATGGCATTGCAAGGACTTTGAGCTTATCTGTGGGGACAGCACACAAAATTGTCCATGATGACCTTGGCTACTTGAAGGTCAGCTGCAGGTGGGTGCCAAAGATGCTTACTGCGGAGCACAAACAGAGGAGGGTCGAGTTGTCCCAGCAGTGTCTTTCCCGCTATGAGAAGGATGGTGATGAGTTTCTGCAGAAGGTGGTCACATCTGACGAGACATGGGTTTGGCACTATGAGCCTGAGTCTGAACGACAGTCCATGGAGTGGAAGCATGCAGGCTCTCCAGTGAAGAAGAAGTTCAAGTCCCAGTGGTCCACTAGGAAGGTGATGCTCACCGTTTTTTGAGATATGCAAGGCCCAATCACCATTTCATTCCTTAAAAAAGGAAGCACTGTGAACAGTGCCAACTACTGTGAACTGCTGAGGCAGGTCAAGAAAGACATGAAGAACGAACGCAGAGGTCATCAGTCAAAAGGGGTCATCTTGCACCATGACAACGCAAGGCCTCACACAGCAGCCTTAACGGTGCAGACCATCAACGAGCTCGGCTGGGAACTGCTCCCTCATCCCCCTTATAGCCCAGACCTTGCCCCTTCGGACTTTCACCTGTTTGGTCCCTTGAAAGCGTTCACGAGAGGCACGAAGTTTGAAAGTGACGATGAAGTCAAAAGTGTTGTGAGCGACTGGCTGAGACATCAGTCTAAAGATTTTTACGCTGAGGGAATAAGGAAGCTTGTGCACAGATGGGAAAAGTGTGTGACAGTGCTGGGAGACTACGTAGAAAAATTAAAAAAAAAAGTAAGCTTCTATTTGTATTAGAAGTCCTTATACAAAAATATTCACCTTATTTATTGAATCACCCTCGTACTTCACATGAGCGACTCCGACGAGCTTATAGGTTGTAAGGGAGTGAGTTCAAAGTTTCAAACACAGTCAAAATTTCAATTTTGACAAGATGTATGCGGAAGTGTCTGCCAGTTGTCAATCCTCAGTTGTGCCATATATTAGTTTCTAGTTACTTAGTAGGGATTCTGAATACTGATCTTATGGCGCATTCCAGTAATGCTTTTGAAGCGTGCCGGGATCAGTAGACCAGATCCGAGATGAAGCACGTGATCCGAAAGGTGTCGCTCCACCTCCGGATCCTTAGTGGAACATGACCACTCCCCTCAGATCCGCGGATACCTTACCGTCATACACCTTTCCCGGAGTCCCCTTATCACAGTACCGGCGAGATGCCCGGCGAAAAAAAAAGTCACGTGTGCTCGCCGAGGACTGGTCAGGCTGGCTTCCGGTCGAATCCGCCAAAATCGGCGGAGCTATACTTTGCTCGGGTCCGGATCGAGATCTGGAGTGTGAGCTGATCTAAAATGACGAGCGGAACACGTCCGTCTGGATCCCGATGGCCCAGTGAAATAGGCGCGCTCCAGAAAAGTTGATCCTGGTGCGCTCCAAAACTACCAGTGGAATTCGCCATTGCTTACAATATGTGCCGGATGCAATGGCCTGGGACTGTAATTTTGCATCGCAAAGTATGATTGGCAAAAAAAAAAACAAAAAAAAAAAAAACATTATCCGTGCGCACAGTGTTTTTTTTTTCTGTTTTTGTTGATTTGCCGCCGATGCCATCGCATTAATTTATGACAGACTGTGTCAACGACGTACATTAATCTATATCCATCTCATAAACACCAGCAACACTGACAAAGAACTTTGAGAAGCGCCTTCAAGGCGCGAGTCCTGGCGCAAACAAAGCATTCTGCAGAGCTAGGGTTACGCTCCTGCGCGTTTGCTTGCACTGCAGCTGTTTGTGAGATGTAGTATATATAGACTATAGACCTACACTTTGAAACAATTCTGGTAACAACAGACCCTTTTTTAAACCTCATCAAGCAGCATTGGAAGTTGCCATTTCTTGGGCACAATCGTGTGACTGAATTCGACTCCTCACCGAACGCGGACGCAGCAATCGTTCTCGATACGAGCTTGCCGAGTTCATGCCAAACGCTGATGCAGCCCTCGTGACAAATACATGCTCAGTAGACATGCCCAAGTAATGGCGGACTTACTGATTGACTCAGCAGCTACTAGATGGTGCACAAGTTTGAAAAGGATCTATGGAAGGTATCAAAAGAATCGGAGCGAGATGTCCGTGTGGAGAGAGCAAAAACTACACAAGCGGATGAACTAGTGAAGAAAGGGCCCAGAGCAGGATAAGAAAACAAAACCCTCAAGATTACAGTGCCCCTCGGTTGTCTACTCCGAACAGGCTAAGGGTGTATATCAAATGGGTACAAAGAAATATAAAATAAAGTAAAAAAGGCAAGAGTAACTTGCCAGCTCTACTGATAAGAGTGCAGGCACATACATTATTGCAGCCGCCACTGAAATTATGTAATTTGATGGGAACTAGGGGTTACTCCAACGTTGGGGAGGGTATGCCGAAACAGAAACACTGAAAAATCAAAACCTCACGTGAACACACATTTTTTTTTCTTTGCTCGAAGCATAACTGAATCTCAAATGGAACGAGCATGCAAGTGTTGCAGATGATGAAAAATAAACGCTGGATGATCGTTAGAGATATATCTTTATGTGCGTTTCTGGAAGAATAAAATGCAATAGAGCAGGGGGTCGTTACACGAACATATCCAAAAAGCAAGACAAAGACGCGACTTTAATTGAAGAGCCGCGATAAAAGGGGGCGCAGCAATTTTAAAAATGTTTTTCGCCTCAGTTGTTGATAACTGCGAATTCAAATAAGAAAGCGATTGCTGAATATGCTACTTTATTATGAGTCCCCATTCGCAAAACAAGGACCCTCTTCGATGTGCGCATGATGGCATAAAGCTGAGTAAGTGCAAGCTGCCTTTTTTTTAACATGTCTTTTCCTTGGTAGGTTTATCAGAAAGCCGTGCGAACCACATTCGGGCCTTTGAAGAGCCGCATGAAACTTCCGAGCAGTGGTTTAACCGGACCTTGGTTCGGCCACCCCTGTAAGAGGGCGTTTGTGACCTTTTCCACAAAGGAGTGCTGCGGAACTCAAGAATTTAGGATATCCCTAAAGGGCAGGTCGCTTTTATGTCACGAAGTATTCCCCAGCAGCTCTCTATAAAAGTCGGTTTACATTCACGCATGACGTTATAGTTTTTCAACACAATCGCGGGCTAGACAGTTCAAGCGGTGCATCTGCCCAGTTCAGGGTTACACAATATCTGTGTACAAGCAACGGTCAAGCGTTGTTTGAACGAAGAAATTTGGGCGAAACGACCTACGTTCGCAAGCCAAGCCACTAGATGGATGTCAATAAAACAATCCTTATACGTTGTTTTCGTATGATCTCTCCGTCGACATGTTGGCGAATTCGCAGAGGTGCTTATATTTTCCTCTGGGTTTTCTTTGATGCAACTGTATGATACAGATGAAATTGGGAGTGTATTTGTTCGTCCAAGGCTTCAAAGTTGTACTTGGTATCTTATCAGGGTTATTTTCACACTCGCGACGTTTTTGGTCAACCTAAGGCCGTATTCACACTTTCGGATGAGCTGCCTTCGCAAAGCGGTTGCGAACGGTGTTGCTTAAAGATCCAACTGAATTTTGATTGAAACGAGCGAATCAGCTTCGCGGTTGCGATTCAAATGTGTGAATGCACCTTAAGACCTCAAAATTGTGTGTAGTCAAAAACACAGATAAGAATGAACCGCGCAGATTGAATTAAATATCTGTTACAAAGAAGTAAAAAAAAAAACATAAAAATAAAAAAAAAATAAAGGTGCCAACCACTGCCATACAGTGTTCCACGCGGATGTCTTATAGGGCACATTCCGTTAGGGTGCATTCGTAACACAAATAGGAAGCATCCAAAGACAAGGCGATATAGTGCGGCCCAATAACAATAAATATATAAACCAGTGTGGTGCAGTGGTTAGCATACCTGATCGGTAAGTAGGAGTCCCAGAGTTCGTATCCCGTCGCCGTCCAAGGCGTTGTCTTTCGGTGGCTTCGTAACAATTATTTTACGTGTTCAGTGAGGTTCATTCATCGCCATGTGTTACATTAATTTCTTTTTAGAGAGCACGTAAGATTAGGAAAATTCCACGCGATATGGTAATTATATATAACGTCTCCCAGGGACATTCTAATAAATTGGGCGAGCTGGGACGCTCCCCAAAATATCTCTAAGCCACCCTGTGGCAACACCTCGTCGCCCATATTAAACAAGTAACTCCATCCTTGGTCGCCAAACCCGAGCACCATGCAGGAAGGACGAGGACAGCCCATCCTTATCATCCAATGAAGATTAAAAGCGAATTGAGTTTCAGTGGCTTAATAAAATTTATTTTCTCTATCTCTTTCTCTCTCTCATAAACGTCCTAGTGAAGATGTAATTTTTGCGGCGTTGAGCCAAGCATCCTCCACCCCGTATTTCTGTCACACAAACGACGTCGAAACTGCCAAATAGGAAGCAAAATCGTACTATGTTAAATATGCTTTAATATGTGCTTGAATATTGATGTTAGGCTCTTTTTTGGTCGAGCAACAAATATTGGCAGAAATGATTGTTGCAAAAAAAGTAACATCGAGCATCAGGTGTTATCTTTCTTTGAAACGAGAACCTCTATGAAAACTCACTCGAACGTGATGATTGCTTTTAGCCTTTGCAGGTGTCGACCCTCTGGTCCAATTTTGGTCGAGGTGAGGGCAAGTGCGTTCTCGGATATTGATTGGAAGTTACTCCTCGTGGTGACTAATATCAAACCCCTGACGGGTACATTGAATTTCCAAGTGTGTCCTACAGAAATACTATTCCACCCTTCATCAGACATCTCACAGTGTGGAATGCTGGCAAAGATGAGGCGGGTAAACGCACCGTACTTGAGATTCCCTTCCGCAGTCTTCTTGCAGATCTCATCGACGACAGCGTCCACGATAGGGAGCACCATCAGCGTGGTGGCCATGTTGCTTAGCCACATGGATAGGAACATGGCGGTCGCCATAAAGCCCAAGAGTAGCCTGACCAAATACGATAAAAACACCCATAAACAAATACATAAAACAAAACTGTTCAAATAGATGAGCCTTTACACATAGTTCTTGAGTGTGGTAAATAAACTTCACTAATTAAAGATGTGTTTTGAAGTCAATTCGCTCTACCATTGCCTTAGGGAACGCTAGGATAATAGCAAAACATAAAAGTGGTAATGCCATGTGTAATCAAGGTTCTCGAAAGTGATTTGGTTAGAAAGACCAAGTTTATATCCTGATAAGCGTAGCAACTTAGCCGCCCTTCGAATTACGAGCTGAAGTAGGCTCCTGAAGCTGCAAGCGAACCCTCCTTCGAATTTTTAAGATGAAGAAATTGTAAACGAATATGAAGGCACGTTTTTTTTTTAATCCGAGAAAAAACGTACTTAGTGCAGAACTTTGAGAATGATTAGTACAAAAAGTAGCCAAAATCAAAGGATTAGCTTGTGATTTTATAATCTTCATTATCTCACCAAATTGTCTTGGTGCCAATGAGAAGTAGAATCCTGAGCGCGATCCTGTAGTGCAAGTTGCAGTGTTCCACGGCTGCCGCCATGATCATGCCGGCGAGGTACATCATGTTGACGTCCTGAAAATCAAGATAACATGTCTCGTGTGTACAGCTTGTGCATAACCGCTTCCGAAATTGCTTTGGGTCTCATAGAATTTTAGAGCGCAGCTCTTAGGCGCCCGTTTCCGGCTTGAGCGGCGTCGCCGTCTGCGTCGGCGTAACCGCGCGGTGCATTATGGGACGTTTCCCATGATGACGTCAGACGTGACGTAACAAGTGAAGTCACGAGGGTCACCAGTGGCGTCATATACGACGTCAGACGTGACGTCACGAGGTTCACCAGTGACGTCATAGATGACGTCGCGTGTGACGTCACAAGGGTCACCAGTGACGTCACCGCGTGTTGCATTATGGGTGATTTTTCCCGCTAAATTTTCCAGAAAAAGTTCCCCACTAAGTTTAGCGGAAAAGATTTCGCCGTTAACTTTAGCGGAAAAATTCACCGCTAAATTTAGCGGGAAAATTTCCCCACTAAATTTAGCGGAAAATTTTCCCGGTAAGTTTAGCGGAAACATTTCCCGCCAAATTTAGCAGAAAAAGTTACCGGCTAAATTTCCCCCTAAATGGAACGCGAGCATGAGAGGAGGAGGGGAGGGTACCTTCCCCTCCTCCTCCTTAAGTAATGTGGCGATGCAGGCGAGTTGGTTATGCATGTTGAAAGTAGTGAAAGCGCACAATAAAGACGAATACGAAGACGGAGAGGCAAACAGGACGAGCGCTGACTATCAACTGAATGTTTTATTGGAAAAAAAATAGAAACAGCAAAATAAAACCAGGAAAAGCCACAAATACTACAAATGTGACTAGTCATCAATGACTCGGCCACCACACGTGTCAATAAAGTCCACTTCCATTTTGTGAAGGAAAAGTGAGGGTTGACTGATACACTTATCAGGACATTCCTTGGAATGTCCTGATAAGTGTATCAGTCAACTATCACTTTTTGCTGGTTTTATTTTGCTGTTTCTATTTTTTTTTTCCAATAAAACATTCAGTTGATAGTCAGCGCTCGTCCTGTTTGCCTCTCCGTCTTCGTATTCGTCTTTATTGTGCGCGTTCACTACTTTCAACATCCTCCTTAAGAGCTGCGGCGTTACAAGGGATTGTAAACGTCCTTCATTTTTCTGACTCTTTTATATATTTTTATTAAAAATCTTGATGTAATAATAAAAGTTTTTATTAATATCAACACGGTTTCTCAATATTTTCTTTTTTAATTCTAAAAATGAAGTTATAGTCTGACTGACTTTAGGGTTCTTGCACGAGAACATAATGCAACGCTACTACCGGTTCGGAAATCTCGCCGGAACCCGGCAGAATCCATGTTGGAGGCATTCGTCGCTGTTATTCTGTTTTGCGTGCCTTGGGGCTGTGTTTGCGTTGCAGTTTGTCTGCTCATTTGATGTTTCAAATGGCCAGTTGCACCGTAAATAATTTCTGCATCCGTGAAAGTCGGCGACAACATAAAGCTACGGCCAGCAGTATATATATATATATATATATATATATATATATATATATATATATATATTTATTTATTTATTTATTTTTTTAAATTCAGGCATTTATTAGGAATCAGGACGAGGCGACGTCCGAGCAATCGGTTCGCTGCTGCCATAAATGGCTCCGCCGGATGCGCCGGCACAATCTTGACAGAAAAGCTTCGGACCAACTACGGGTTTGTGGACTGCATTTCCTGTCAGGTGGAGAACTCATTTGCAATTGACTGGGACAAGTAAAACAGACAAAATACCTTGTACGGCAGCTCCAGTCTCCATCTACGCGGATAGCCACAAAGTTGGAGGACCGGCTACAGTACTGGCACATTTTACGCAATATCCCCCAATGGTTTCACGTATAGGTAGCGACACTAACTTTCTTGTCATTCACCGCAAATGATTAGCACATGACGTATTTTTTGTCTTCTGACGGCACGCTTGCAAGGCGTTCAAGTGCCGAGCGACGGCGCTCCGCCAACACCTAGAAACTACAGCCTGGGCGCCCGCTCCGCGGCGTTTCGCAACTAGGCTTTCGAGCGGAAAAGCGACAGTCGGCTGGACGCTGGGCTTCGTTGTTGCGACGCGCTGACGGGGCGGCCTCTAGCTTTATTCGAAATATTGTGCGAATGTTACTCGCGCGTGAAGACGACGTAATTATGAAATATAGTATCTTTAGTTTAGAAGATTATGTAACAACTCCAACTTCTACGGTTGGTGTATTACGTTACGACGACTGAAAACACTCCCGATAAGTTTTAGCGTCTGCACCATTTCCACAATTATTTAACTTAATTTCCTTTGTAAAGCCAAAGCGCTACTCTGCAATTACAAAAATTTTAATTTGAAACTTATTTTGACGTGCGTGCTTACCACACACTTAAAAAAATATCAGAAATAGCATTTTACGCCTAGCGCCTTCCAGGTGATTTCCTGAAAAAAGAAAAAAAAAGTAACAGCACGCTCTCGACTTCCCAGCACAGGTTGGACGGCCATTTTTTTATTTATATTAACCGAAAATAAGTCACGCCTCGCTAATTAAGGAGTCATTTGTTTTATTTAAAAAATAAGTAGTTCTAATTGAATGAAACAAGCAAATGCTGATTGACGACGTGTCAGAGGGCCGTCATGTAATAATTGAACACGACAAAATGCGCAGTTCGTCTCATAGACAACTTCCTTTTTGCCTGCGTTTCAGGTTTTAGAATGTTGGTCTACGAGATGTCGCCATTAAAAAACTTTTGGGGAAAATAAACAGTTTTTTTTTTTTTTTTTGGCTGGACTACACGTTGCTCCTAGCCTAAGGCATAATATTTCTATTTTCAGACATTTTTTAGAAGAAAATTTGTGTATTCCCTTGCACAAGTTTCCAACTCATCGAACTCTTGCCAACGTAACCAGTGTCAAGTCCGTGACAACTTTTCGTTGATAACGTAACCGCAAGAACTGAGAGATTAGCTGGGACAGTCTAAGCTTTTTCACAACTTTAGCATGCATTACCAAACTGATGACCAGTTCTGTTGAAAGGTGCCGTCCCCCTCACTTTGAAGCATATTTCAGATGATGAACCACTGCATGCATCGTGATGAAGTGCCTTCTCGAAAACCAAAGGTTCTTTTAGTATTCGCACTTGAGTGCTTTCACAGTAACACAGGCGAAGTATCCAGCTACGTAGGTTGGAATAAAAGTATTGGACGACAGCGCTGCTAACTCATAGTGGGTGATGTTAAATGTAAAAGCTATAATACAAAACAAAATGCACTGCGCAGGCGACTCGCACACTAAAACCAACACAATAGTTCAAAACACTGTGATAGTGGTAACTCATTCTAAAATATATCTGCTATGCATCCTTGAGAGTACGAAACATACCGGTGTTTACTGCGCTATTGCCCTTCGGGACACATTGACGATTCAAAAGTACAATAGAGTAAGGATAAAACATAAAGCTGACAAATTAACATACCTTCGAAGAGCTCGCAACTTGAACTACTTTCTTCGGAATCGTCTTAATCCATTAAATACGCCGTTGCTCGTCGGTTGGGAAGGAGAACAAGTGAATCTTCGATTCTCCGGCATAAGTTTTCCGACACCAAGGCACACAACAATTATAAAGCATGATCTTAACATGCGTACACATGAAAACACTAGCGATTCTGGTCGCCGACGGACGCAGTGAATACGGAGGCGTCTTGTCTCCACATTTTGAACGACTTTCTACTTTTCCCATTAGAGCAGATGCAAAAAGAAGCGCCATCTACTCTGCTCATGATCAATTATCAAATTTTCTCCATGTTGCGGGGTCCGCGTACCAATAGTTTCGCCCGAGAGACAAGGGTCTCGGTAAAGTGGGAGTCGTAGAATTAAAATATGATAACCTGCTGTCAGTTCAGTACGAAACCTTCACTGAACGTCATCGATAAAGATCGTTCACTGACCTGGATGGCCCAGTGCACTGCTTGAGTGGGAAGTCTTGCGACCTCGTTGCTGACAATTCCTTTTCCAAAATTTCGCGGCCGTTTTCTTTTTCCTTTTTGAACCAAAAACTAAACAAAAACCTGCTGAGTGCAGAAATAAATTGTCGTAATATTATTGAAAAAAAGCGAGTTAAATACAGATGCGCTTTGCCCACAACTGGAAATGTGGGGAAAACAATGGCGGCTCGTGATGGCATGATGATGATGATAGCTAGCGAGAATTTCGAATATGGCCTATTGCGCACCTAATTTCTGGCTTTTGTTATCTTGCGAGCCGCCTGCAGTCTGATAAGTTGCGTCGTCGCGTAATCTTTTTTATTATATTTTATTAGATTTAGTCGGTACAATTAACCTATAACATACTTCCATATTTCACGCCCAGACAGAACACAACGGAGATAACGGCGCATTAAAAAAAGGAAAAACAGACTGTCAATCCCCCCGCTCCGTTCCCCCCCCCCGCTCCGCTCCCCCCAAAAGTCGTGCTCGAAGTAAGCTTAATTGTGGCGTTTGCCGAAAGGCGTGCCACGGCGCTGGCTGATGAGACCAATCATCACCGCGAGCAGCATTGGTTTGGGTTCAGGGCTGTGCTCAAATTGGTCGTAATACTGTTATTTTTATTGAAAGAAAATATTTAATTCTAAGTGCTGCAATTTTATGTCATTTAGAGTGATTGGTTTACTAATTAAAGCAACGCTATAAATTTTCGTCACTCTGCGAGCACCATCATCATGAAGTCAAAGCACAAAGCACCGTGGTAGTGACAGAGCGACGGACTCTAACCCTTGATGGAACTCCGCGTGCTCCAGGGCATGCATCCTTTCCGAAGAATTTATCTTTTAACCTTTTAATCAGTATGTACCAACTAGCCCTAACCAAAGTTTTATTGCTCTCAGCCTGCCTAACACAAGCAAAAACGCATAAATTGCATGCAGTGTGTAGACTAAAGATACTAGTAGTTTCTACAAGAAATGTTACACGAACAGGCTGTACATGATTTCGGCAGACTTAAATGCTACACTTGCTAAAATCAACATAGCACATAATGTGACTGTTAGAATAATGCCTTCATAATTATTCATAAAATGACAATGATCTGCAGACCAGGGTAAAAAGTTATGAATCGAGGGGTGCACAGTAAAATGAACTGAAAAGAATCGGTGTCTTTGTGTAGCAAGCTCAATATTTCATGCAAGGTATAATTTAGTTGCAAGTTTTGGCTCGCAAAATCTCAGAGCGTACTTTTTTTCCCGTGAAAAAGGAGAATATCCTCGAGAGTTTCAACGATCGAGTTGTCTGATAGTTCCGCTTGTTGTGTCATATATTAGTATTTGTAGCAAGCAGTGTAATAAAATCAGATGATTCGGTCACCTTCGTTACTGCGTCTTCTGCTTTCGAATCAGTGCTTCTGTACCTGTCAGGAGGCGATGCATTAAGCCGATTCGCCCGCGACTTGCTCGTCTGCATCCCTAATATTTTCTAGAATGTTTCATTTTTTCACAGAAACGAACCAATGCTCTAAGATTTCGCAAGCTAAACCTCACCAAAAAAGTTGAGTTTCAATGAAGGTTTCAGCTTTCTGTGTGCAGGCACCGATTCTTCACACCTCATTTAACTGACTCCGCGGTTCATAACAGCCTTTACCTAAGTCTTCATGGCATTGATACGTAATGAAATATTATGAAGACATTTTTCTGACAGTCATATATGGTGCGTTGTCGGTTATAGTCAATGTAGAATTGAAATCTACCGATAAAGTTTTTTTGCGATGTCCAGGCCATGGCCACATGGCTAGATTGTTTGCTTGTGAAATGCCATAACTCCTACTTTCTTTTCTTTTCGTTCGATTTCTGTGTATCGTTTGCAATTTTACAAATCCTGCAGCTTATCATATGGTGAGCTTATAACGAGCTTGAGTAAGCTTAGAACGGTAAACGGTATACCAGCGGCCAAATATGGTACCCACCCCCTCCAGCTAGGTGCCGCCATCCGGCCTGTTTGCAACATTAGTAATCACGAGACGTTAACATGGCTGCGTTTAGAGCTGGGCCAGATCAGACTGGCACGATTACGATCAGCAGGGTTGTGTTCCAAAATTTACTTGATCTCACTTTAGGATGAAGTTTCTGTACCTTGGCTTTTGAAAACCTAGCCCTCGTCCAGTTTCTCTATATGTCTTGTCACATGACATGATCCGCCGGAGTAATTCGCATTCATTCGAGCAAGATTGGAACACAGCCCCACAGGGCTCATCCGCTGACCATGATCTGGAAACTCTGATTAGGTCCACCTCTGGGCGCAGTCATCTTGACGTCACGTGATCACTAATGTGGCGAACAGACAAGATAGAGGCAGCCGGGGGGTGCCATTTTTGCTGCAGGCCATGAGTTCCGGTTTACCGCTCTGAGGTGATACTCAAGCTCGTTGCAGCTTATATACATTTTTGTAACGTAATTTTGGCTTTCTGAAGCCCAAAACTCGATTTTCACTAGACAGCTAGACGACTGGTGCGCGACCGAAAAAAACTCCGCCTGGTCCTGGTATCGAACAAGAGACTTCTCCATTCCCACTGGAGCGCTCTACGAACTGAGCTAACCAGGAGTTAGACGTCAACAGAGCAAAGGGGTTTTACCGGCTGCCACCAGGCTAACTCCAACAAGGGTGAACGGCCGGTAATATTTAAGGTCATGATGATGCAGGTAATACAAAGGAGCAAGCTAGCTGGACAAGAATGACAAAAATAAGCCCTGGAGAAGGGGCTTATTTTCGTCATTCTTGTCCAGCTCGCTTGGTCCTTCGTATTAATTGCATTATCATCATAACCTGAAAGAAATTCAGGCAGTTCGCCTCGGTGGGTCTTGTGGTTCGCCTTGGTGGTCTTGTGGCAGCTGAAAAAAACCCGTTTGCTCTACTGACGTCTGACTCCTGGTTGGCTCAATTGGTAGAGCGCTCGAATGAAAATGGAGAGGTGCCAGGTTCTATACCAGGAACAGGCAGGTTTTTTTCGGTCGCGCAGCAGTCAGCTAGCTGTGTTTCGAGATTTGTGTTTGTCCTTTGTCCCCCTCGTTCCCCTTCTCCAGGGATTATTTTCGTCAACCTCAAAGCTAAGTTTTCCACTCGTAAGCCTAATAAAACTTCACTTTGTTCAAACAAGACCCTTCTGTGCACATGTGTTTCCACTACAAAAGCAGTAGAATAAAGAAGTAGTCGAGTATAAAAATATTATGTGATGTCCTAATATAGTCCCGAAAACATGCGCCGTTGGACACCCCATGAATGTTTTTCGGCGTTGCACTTGTAATGTTTCCCGAACCTTATTGGGACATCAATACGACACCCCCAACGTCCCAATCTGGACATCCTTATAGGATGGTCGCTGGATACATGTGTGTTGTCAGGGATGTTAAACACAAGTCACGCTTATTCTTTCCGTGTTTCATCGGCTTTTCGCCACCACTTTGTTTTATAATCAGACGCAAGCGAGGCAAACGCCAGAGCTCTACGACAGTACTTCTGCCGCAGTAAGACGCTGAATGCCTCCAACTTGGTGCCAAGGCACTGATGGCAGACGGCGATGTTGGTATCGATTTAAAGGATAACCGGAAGTGACGTAAGGTGCATGAAGCCTTTAATTTCCAAACTAGAATTATAATAAAAAATATATCTGGCAGGTATCGGGGTTGAAATAAGACACTCGAGCTAAAAGAATTTTACACATTCAAATATAAACTCTAATTAAAAAAAAAAAAAAAAGAAGCTCTCGTCATTTTGATCGACTTCGTCGTAGCGACGATAGTTCAGCTTCTCGAAGTCTGAACGAAATCGTGCCTCACTTTCATTATGGTGCCTGGAGCGCGTCTCTGACTGGTGTGTTTACCGCCTCCTCAAAAGTGCTCCATCGATGTTTGTCTGATAACGTCATACAAGTGTCGTGCTGGTGCCCGCAGCGACCCTGGTGGCCGCTCAGTAGCGGAGGTGCAAGCTGCAGAGGCCTGTTCAGCTGCAGGTCGCTCTCTAGCTTGACGGTTCATAGAGGCTTCGACAGTCACGAGTTGGGACGCTACGATGACAGCGACCCTCGCGTCCGCTCGCCTTTGTCGGCAATATTTCTACGATCCACCGCCAGGTTCGTGACATCCGAATGCGTGACACACCAGCTTTTGTGACGCCATTGGTGGCCACTTCGTGACCACTTTGGATGCATGGGCGGTATAAGATGACAGACGCATCCCTCGAAGACGCGTTCCAGGCACCATAGCGAGAGCAATGCTCTACCTGTATCTCCGTTGAATCCCTGCTCGAGCTTGTCCTGTGCACTTCTGCTTGCGTCGTACCCTTAACTGGTCCGCTCCTTTTATTTACCCTGCCCCAGAACTTTTCAACGTGAAAACAGGTAGAAGACTTTTCAAGGCGGAGTTTTAAAGTTATTGTATGCCCCACGCCCCACTGCATCGGGCAAATAAACATGCATTCACTGTTAACTCAGGGGAGGAAGCAAAGTTTAGGGTTGCGTTTGGTGGTGGGATAATATTTGGACGCATCAGCGTTACAAGGCGCAAAAGACGCCGCTCGAAAACGTATGCCAGACACAGTACCTTCATGTAGGGAGCGGTCGTGCTGGCGGTGTCCAGGATGCCTAAGACGGGAAAGAGGAAGACGGGCAGCAGCGACGTGACCGAGAGGTGGACCAGCTCGAACATCCAGTAGACTGCCATCAAAAGAATGGCGTACCCACATCGCGTCTCCTGCAGATATAAGAGGCACTGAGTGAAGAGCGACTTTGAAGTGGTCTTGGAATTGTCGTTTTGTTAGATTTCCCATGTTCCGGGAAGAATGCTAGTTACGCGCAATCGTAAATACACTAAGGCTAAGTCTATAGCATATGCCCTCTCACTCGCATATACATTCGTCAACGCCTTTTTTGGGTAACTTTTATTGAATGTTTCACAGCGGTACATAAGACGAGCGCGCGCAGCACACGCGCCTAGGTTGCCAGCATTCTTCTTGGTAGTGGGTAATTTGGCGAAGGCTAGAGTGAGACACTTTCGTGAATTTTGATGCAATTTTTTAATAGGCGAAATTTACTATCAACTGTTGTGTTTCTTTACGAGCGCTGTGCTGTAAGGTGAGGCTTGGTACCGCGTACATCAAAGACACTAAAAATGTTTCTATGAACCTGCAGCATGATTAATTGAAGAAAATATGTAATGCAACCTCATACTAACGGTACAGCACTGGTGGGACCCAAGAATACTCGAATGCAACCCCAATGACCCAGACGCGTCTTTGTCGCGTAATAATTCTAAGGATAAAAGCGGATTTTCTCTTTCAGTCTCTCCTTCCCAAAACTTGACAACGGAGCTGTGGGGACAATGCCACCAATGCGATCCCCAGGAGTGCGTCATCGAGTTTTGCGGTCTACACTGTGACGATATTTAAATACTGCTCATACAGTGGACACGAATACAGCGGAGGCATTCGATTTTGGCTCTTGACAATCAATGCCTCGACATGCATCCGGGTAGTGGTTCGTGCCCAATCACTGCGACGGCAGGAATAGCCGAACCTTAACAATGCCCGGAACTCAGCGTGCGCCCTGTGCTCTGACAACCCTAACACGTGGCTATGTTGAAAACATTGGCGGCAAAATATCGGCTCCAGATTACGTGGCAGCTTTTTCTGGCTGCGAGTTGAGGGGGCAAGAGGTGTTCGTTTTTCTTGGATTTTCTCTGCGACTGCCATTCCGTACAGAAAAAAGAAAAAAAAAGCAAGGCGTGTCTTAGGTCATAAATGTCAAGGAATAATTCTAAGCTGTATCTATGAAAAGTAGAAAAATTGTTGCATCGCGCCTTTAATGTGGCTAAAAACACGCAACAGATCGCCGCATTGTGATATATTGGATTTATAGTATGCTACTGCCCCAACTTTCCTTATCGCTGTAACACTAGCCGACGAAGTTCCTTACATCAAATACAATTAAAAACTGAAACGTTTATTTGTATATACATATTACATATGGTCGTATCAAAGTGAGGAGACGAAACGATAGTCACAGACCTCTTGATGAACAGAACAGCGCACACAAAGACAAGGACAGAGAAAAGGAACATGCAGGACACACAAGCGCTGACTCGCAACTGAATTTATACACAAAAGAAAGAAGAAGAAACCGTTCTGAAAGACACGCAGGGCACGCAGTGCTTATGACCCGTGACACAACACCATCTAACTGCAATGTCTTTGCCCCATAGTCCTTTCTAAAAACAAGGTTTCAGTGTTTAGTAGTGTCACTGATGGGTGCCTGACGCAGCAGTCCCCCAGGCTGTTGATGCAATGTGCTTCTAAGATTTCGCGAGTTGTCTTGTCTCGATAGTGTCCAATTATTGTTGTGCCTTTTAGAATCGGAGCACACGAGCAGCAATTGCAGTGAACGGGAAGGTGACCACCCACCGTAGATTTTAGTGAACGATCATGCTCGAGAAGGCGATCGTTTAGGCACCGTCCGGTTTGGCCCACATAGCTTCTACCACACGTTAATGGGATTTTGTACACCACGCCAATTGAACACGGCACATAAGGGTGGCTGTGGCGTTTCTGGCACTTGCCTTTGTTGAGGTTATCCGCTATCGAGCGAACCTTTGAACAGATTTGCGCCATTCTTTTGGGAGCCGGAAACACCACAGGCACATCGTACCTTTGGGCTGCTCTTTTTAAATTATGAGAGGTTTTGTGCATGTATGGTACAACAACCTTTCGTTTCTGTGGATCTCGAGGTTTCTTTCTCCGAATCCCTTTAGTCTTGCGTACTAAGACCGCCACCACCTCGTTTAAGACCAGTGATGGAAAGCCCGACTTTTGGAGTCTCTCAACTTGAGCATTAAAACTTTCACGAACAGTGTGAAACCAGGACTTCGTAAGTGCAGCCCCAAGTATGGTAACCGCAATCCCCCTTTTAACAACTTTCGAATGTGCGGATGTGTAGTGAAGGATGCCCTTTTTTGACCTAGGAGAGAAACTCCAGCAGATATGGTTTGTATGAAGAGATAACGAAAGGTCCAGGAACTGTAACTTTCCGTCCGAAGGTTTTTCAACAGTGAATTTAAGACCAAAGCCGCACCTGGAAAATACGCTCATAACCTTATCAACGTAATCACCTTCAACAGACTTGGGATACACTAGCAAAAAATCATCAACGTATCGGAACACCTTTGACACTTCTGATCTGCTAAGGGCACCTTCAATAGCTCTATCAACACTTGCTAGAAAAATATCACTAAGAACGGGGGCCACGCATGATCCTATGCACACACCTGACCGCTGCGTAAAGGTACCGTTTTTCCAGTCAACGATCATAGAGTTCAAATAGAATTGCAGAAGTTCTAGAAAGCCTTCTAAAGAAACACCACTAGAGTTTCTGAAGGAGAGCTCCCCTTGCTCTTCAATGCAGGACTTGACTGAGGCAAGTAATGCTTGGTGTGGAAGAGAATAAAAAAGGTCTTGCACGTCAACACTGAACAAAGAGTGGTTGTTGAAATTATTGTTCTTGAAAGCTTCCACTACTGCTTCAGAATTGCTGACTAAAAAGGGGTCCTTGATTTGCAAACCTGATAGGTGTTTTTGAAGAAAGCCCGCCATCTGGCGCTGCCACGTGCCTCTCTCAGTGATGATGGCACGGAATGGGCAGGCTTCCTTATGGGTTTTCACACTAAAGAACACCTCAAGGTTAAGCCCTGTTGCTTTCTTGATGTTTCCGGACAAGCTTGTCAAGGAATGGCGTTCACAGAGCTTTAATGCCTGCGCCTTAATCTGCTTGGGGGACACTTGTACCCGCTTGAAGTTCTTGCTCATGGCGGTACAGGCTTTTTCATTAAAGTGCTCTTCAGGCATCAATACAAAGGATCCTTCCTTATCAGCCTCTAAAACGCGAAGGTGATTATCGGTCAAAAAAGAAATCAGAGGACGGGGATCATATGTATGTCTAGGCCGAGTATGGCTGCCACCGAGTGCGTCACCACATTCATGAATACAACGCGGTCGAACATCTTCATTGACCTTGTATGCAATTTTTCTAGTTAGCGCCTGAAGCTCGGGGGGTTGAAGAGTTGGTTCGAGGCAAAACTTGGGCCCAAGGCCTAAGACCTTTTTGAGCTCTGGCGGGACTTGAATTGTTAAAAGGGGGATTGCGGTTACCATACTTGGGGCTGCACTTACGAAGTCCTGCTTTCACACTGTTCGTGAAAGTTTTAATGCTCAAGTTGAGAGACTCCAAAAGTCGGGCTTTCCATCACAGGTCTTAAACGAGGTGGTGGCGGTCTTAGTACGCAAGACTAAAGGGATTCGGAGAAAGAAACCTCGAGATCCACAGAAACGAAAGGTTGTTGTACCATACATGCACCCCGAAGGAAAAATCCATCAATGTAACGCTGTTTGGCAGTCAATGTTTTCTAGTGGACCGCTGACTGTGCCTGACTGTACGTCAAGCATGTCTGATTGGACAACAAGTTACTCTGACCGACAGTCAAACTCCAGTCAGACCCCGCTTGTCTGCTTTCTGATGGTCTCCTGGTGGCAGTCGGCCGCCGCGAAATGCCATCAGGATGTCCTGGTGGTGATTCTGACTGTACATCGATTGTCTCTGACTGTACGTCAGAAAGCTTTGACGTGCAGACAGACGTACGGTCAAAGGACGTAAAGCTCGTTCGGACACCACTATTTCGTCAAATCTATGAATACGAAAAGTAATCTAGGCACGAGAAAACGGTTTCGGGACGTGAGCCCATAAAACCGCTGACGTTAGATATTTGACACGCAACCGACCGACAACCTTGATCAGAAGCTCGCCGAAGCGCCGAACACGACACTTCGCTTCGCCCACAGATGCTTCGCCGAGCTTTCTTGAACGATCGCTCTCGACTCGTTTTGTTTGCCCTCTTGCTCCAACTTGTTGATCCTGCCCGGGCTCTACAATGTCTTATGTTTTAGTAGAATTTCTACTCGACAAGACCCAGCCTGTTGTGAGTTCCGACGATGTAAGGGACTTTAGCGGTGTAGTTAAAGACGACAAGGTGTACCAGGTCTACTGGGCCGATGACGCGCGAACAAAAGGATCATTCTACGACGCGAAAGTACTCTACATGGCAGGTGAGTAGAACTGAAGTACGGCGAGTGATGTATGAGTGCTTTCATAACATGCTGACGGCTTAACTGCATTTGCAGCCGAAGCATCTCGTATAAAACGGATAGTCAAATCGAGTTTCTGTAGCGGTGGCGTAGCATAGCGGTTAGTGTTTCCGATTTGTACGCAAGCGGTCGCGAGTTCGATCCGCGGGGGTCCTGCTTTTTTTTTTTTTTTTTCTTGAACATTTTGTTTTATCGAGGCATTTGACGATATTTATGAGTGCGTATAGCTTTACTCTTATATAAATGCTGCCCCTGATGATGAAATTGCCTTGGCAGTGGCAGTCAGACGTCATCTGATGGACCATCAGATGACGTGTGATGGTCCACCACGTTCCACCAAGGCTGCTGACTGGCAGTCAGTGTCCCAAATTACGTAGCTTGATGGAATTTTCAATGGTAATCTCTCATAATTGGTAACCTCTCATAATTTAAAAAGAGCAGCCCAAAGGTACGATGTGCCTGTGGTGTTTTCGGCTCCCAAAAGAATGGCGCAAATCTGTTCAAAGGTTCGCTCGACAGCGGATAACCTCAACAAAGGCAAGTGCCAGAAACGCCACAGCCACCTGTATGTGCCGTGTTCAATTGGCGTGGTGTACAAAATCCCATTAACGCGTGGTAGAAGCTATGTGGGCCAAACCGGACGGTGCCTAAACGATCGCCTTCTCGAGCATGATCGTTCACTAAAATCTACGGTGGGTGGTCACCTTCCCGTTCACTGCAATTCCTGCTCGTGTGCTCCGATTCTAAAAGGCACAACAATAATTGGACACTATCGAGACAAGACAACTCGCGAAATCTTAGAAGCACATTGCATCAACAGCCTGGGGGGACTGCTGCGTCAGCCACCCATCAGTGGCACTACTAAACACTGAAACCTTGTTTTTAGAAAGGACTATGGGGCAAAGACGTTGCAGTTAGATGGTGTTGTGTCGCGTGTCATAAGCACTGCGTGCCCTGCGTGTCTTTCAAAACGTTTTCTTCTTCTTTCTTTTGTGTATAAATTCAGTTGCGAGTCAGCGCTTGTGTGTCCTGCATGTTCCTTTTCTCTGTCCTTGTCTTTGTGTGCGCTGTTCTGTTCATCACGTCATCATACCAACTCGCCCAACTTACTACACGTCACAGACCTCAATCGCGTTTGCGATTGTTAAGGCGAACGAAAACCAGGTGCAAAAGGTCTGAAGTTTGGGTCAATTTCTAGTAATCTCCGAGGTTTAAAAAACACGAAAAATACAAAGACAAAATGGAGAGAAGGAAAAGCAGACAAGTGGTTGTCAGTCGCGCCTGTCCTGTAATTTGTCCTCGTTTCCTTTTCTTTCTTTTTTTTTTTTCGCGCGTTTCATAGTTTAAGAGAAACGCGTATTTAGAAGTGAAGCGTAAACAGATTGGGGGAATCAGTGGCCGAGTGGGCGAGAGGCTGAGAGCCCACCAGCTCGGAGGACGTAAAGCGAAAACTCGCGCTGCCCGTTTCGACTAGCATCGTACCGGCGTGGGGTCAGGTATCACTATTGCTTTATGCACGTTAAAGACCCCAGGCTAGCAGTTGTACTGCACTGGCTAAATGTTTTATCTACAGTGGGTAACAATGGGGGTCGCCATGTCTGGCAGACTGAACTGCTGCGGTGTAAACAACTAGCGACTTATCATTGAACATGATTGTAAACCTGAGACTGGGACAGAAAAGAGAACATTCTCTGTTCTCTTTTCTGCCCCAGTCTCAGGTTTACAATTATGTTCAACTGACACCAGCTCGCCTGCACTCTGACTATTTTTTTTACTTATCATTCTTTGTAAAAACATTGACGTCTCCGTGGGTTAAATGTTTAAATAAAATGACAAAGCTTTCTTTTGTTTATCTTGGACGTCAGTGTACTGGAAGTGCCTGGCACAGATACGGAAATATTTCAGAATCTTAAAACTTGCCTTGCTGTCGTACACGATGAGAAGAGGGCACAGTGCGATCGGCGCCAGGACGGCCAGCACCCTGCGCCAGGATCGCCCCGCCACGGTGGCTGCCCGAGCCAGGGTTTTTGGGCAACATGCTCCGCACCATCCCATAGCTTCTGCAGTAACGAGCGGCCACCCCGGTCCAGACGGTGAGGGTATGCGCTGCGGCCAGTTAAGGACGTTCTGCCGCTACCCGCACCGTAGCCAGCGATTTTCTCGAATCCATGGGGGTCTTGTTTATACCTCGCAGAGGTCTACGAGAAACAGAAATGGATCAGCTCCGGGTTTTATTTAGATTCCCTCTTAGAACGGTGCAAACACATGTAATTTCCCCTCGGCTTGGGTCACTGTCATAAGAAGAGCGGCATGGAAGTCTATCAGACTTTAACAAAAGTTGATATAGCTGTGTTGAAAGCATAGTTAAGATGCATGTGCAAGATTCCCGGCCCCCTCTTCCGATTCGTTTCACGATCTCTCGTTTGTGTTTATATCACGAAGTTAATCCTGGCCTAAAAAACAACTGAGTAAACCAGTTTATGTCTCGGGGAGAAACAGCGGCAAAAACTTCGACACGGGTAAAGAGACACACACGACAGGACGGCGCTGAACAAACAACTGTCGCTTGATACATAGAAAAGGAAAGACGAGTACAATAAGCATCTTGATAAGAAAAAAATAGACAGCACACACACCCCAACCAAGCAGCATATTGCATTAAGATACGCTATATCAGTGACAACGTATAATGCCCTTGATAGTTGATCCAAGGTACCCGATTTATTTTTCAGATAAAGCCACTGACGGTCCGCTGACTCATCTCCCGCCAAGTTCAGAGAAAAAAAAAAAACCTCAATAATTTCCCTTGTCACTCTATCTGTATGTTTATCCAAAACAGTGACTTCACTAAAATTAGGATAGCACTTGCAGTCCCTGCAGTCTAAAGGTAGCTACCCCCGAAGTGCGGTACAAAAGGTAATGCACCAAAAAGCACGCAGTACGGATTTGTGGCTTGTGTGTCTGGCGTGGTTTATAAGATTTCCTTGTCGGGTGGCAGTGTGCATGTTGCACAGACGGGCCGCTGTCTAAATGACAGACTTAGAGTACATTCGTATTCGCGCAGGGCCACTGTTGGGGATCGCTACCTTTAGACTGCTGGGACTGCATGTGCCAGCCTAATTTTAGTGAAGTCACTGTTTTGGATAAGCATACAGACAAAGTGACAAGTAAAATCATCGAGGCTCTTTTTTTATCTCTGAACTTGGCGGGAGATGTGTCAGCGAGCCGTCAGTTGCCTTATCTCAAAAATAATTCGGGTACATTCAAACAACTATGAAGGGCATTTTGTAGCCACGGATATGGCCTATCTTTACATAATATGCTGCTTGGTTGGCGCGTGTGTGGTGTCTATTTTTTCTGATTAAGATGCGTCTTGTTCCTTTCCTTCCTTTTTGAGTATTAAGCAACAGTTGTTAGCTCAGCGCGTCCTCTCGTGGTGTTTTTTTACCATTGTCCAAGTTTTTTGCCGCTCTTTCCACCCAAGATGTTTACTTCAAACTAACGCACCCAACACGTCACACTGTTACAGTCTGTCTCCTCTCGCCCTGACCATATCTGCAAAGTTGGCATAACCACTTGTCACTCAAATTATTTTTTTATGTCTTTCATCCCTAAAACGTTTCGTGAAAGGAACTGCCTATCCGTGTTCATGGCAACTATCACCGATTTTGCACGTTTGAAGCAAACACTAACTAGTTATTATTTATGCGTTTGAGCCGTATTAACCAGTTGCTTTATACGTTTGTACTTCTGTGCCCATTCCGCTCTGTAATGCTTCGGCCCTGAAGGTGCAATAAATAAATGTATTAATAAATAAATAAATTACAAATTGTGACTACTTCATCAGTGGTTTTGAACTATTCTCCCGCGTTCGAAAATTCATGCGATTTCCGCACGGTTTTACGGACACGTGTTCCCACCTTTACACCTACTGATTAATCTTCAACGTTACAATAGAAGGGCAAAAAGGCAAAACGATTGCAACTATTACGGAACAACTCGATTCGTGTGACTTAATAAAATCAGAGGAACAAAAGGAACGGCTCTGATATCCCATGTCAGCGTCACAACGACTCTAAACTAAATTGTTCAAGAGAAAAAAAAAAGAACTCGAAACGACCCTAATGTATTTAGTGTTGGAAAATTTACTAGGTGGAGTAGGCCCCTAAAAAGAATACTGCCGCACGTAATGAATCTCACCTTGCGCTCTCTAGTCAACGAATAAAAAGGTAAAAGAAAAGATCGAGGTACAGCTAAACACTTCTTATGAGTTGTTAATGCGAAAGCATGTACATCAATCTTGCTGTAGATGGTTGAACGTGTTGGTTTCTAATTCACGATAAGGAAAGAGAGGTATTGAAGACAAACAGACAAGACAGGCTTTCGACTTTTGTTGTTGGTTGCGCTGATTGGCGCCGACTAGAGTAACCCCGGAGCGCCGGCTTTCCTGCACGGCTTGCGAAGTCCGCTTCCCACGTGACTGAATTCGCCGAATAGCGGCGCCGCGCGTTCGAGGCGCGCGGCGCGTTCAGAAGCAGGGGAGCGTAAGCCGGGGCCCGCGCGACGTCTTCTTTCCTGCACGACACTTGATCCGGCTCCTCACGTGATCGGATCTCGGCGAATAACGGCGCGGCGGCACGTGGAAAACAGACGCGTAACTCTGGCTCCTCTCGGGTGCCTATACAGCAGAGCTGGCCAAATTACTCATATTTTGTAATTAAATTACATTACTAATTACTTTGCTGAAAATTGCTTAAATGTAATTAAATTACATTACAAATTACCACAGCCAGAAAGTAATTAATTACCATCACAAATTACTTTTAAAAATAATGACATTACTTTCGCATTACTTTGTATACTTTTAAATATAAAGGAGCTATTGATAACTTCCTTCTACAGATAACTTTATTTACGTTATTTACACAGTTCATGGCACACAGCTAGAACTCTGTTGCATGTTTCCGATGGACAGAGGAACGCACGCGGCTGATCCGTTTCCCACCTCAACCCGGACAAGTATTTTTGGAGATGACTGAGGACCCTACGCGGATTATCTCTGGGAGGGGGGAGAAGAATTGTCATTGTTCGCAAAATCGCGTCGAGGGCCGTTCCACCAGGGGCCTTAGTTCGACCTACTTCCCCTCCTTTGTTTCCCGAGAATGTCGAGCAGAAAAGCTCGAATGGAAGGCACTTACCAGCCCTATTTCTCACAGTGGAAGATAACACAGAGAGGGTACGCAGTATGCATCAGAAAAAAAATAAGCGGAAACTTTCAAGAGGGGCCAGAAAACGTCGAATGCAAAACCGCAAAACATAGGTAGAGAATCGCGCTGAGCGGGTTCTCACAGTTCAAAAGAGTGGCAGAAAATGTCTAGCTGATTGCGGGCGCGAGAGTCGCACCAGCTGCATTAGCATCAGCAACATAGCGGCGGCCAAAGAGCGTTTTTTGGAAAGGTGTAGAGGAAAAAGAAAAAGTAAAATAAAAAGAAAAGCGCTCTTGTGTATTGTGGACACAAAAAATATGCCTGGTGCGAAAAAGAAATTAGGTAATTTAATTACAATTACCGTCGCTGGAGTAATTCATTACATTACTAAATTACCTGCTACAAAAAGTAATGAATTACATTACTAATTACTGGAACAAGTAATTAAATTACTGTAATTTCAATACAGTAATTGCATTACTGCCAGCTGTGCTATACAGGAACTCTAGCGCCGATATACGGCTCTGGCGCCGACTAGAGTTCCTGTATATGCTGCCTACGGTAGAAGAGTTGCGCATTCAGCCTCGGCGCGTGGCCGTAGCGCCGGCTTCCCCGCACGAGCTGGATGCTTTGCTCCTCACGTGACTAAATTTGGCGAACAGCGGCGCCGCGCGCGCCGCCGCGCATGGAAAACTGGAGAGGAGGAAAAGGAGGCGGAAAGCAGGGAAACATACGCCGGGGCAAGAGAAACGTCGGCGGAGCGACCGTAAAGGTGGCTTTCTTGCACGCCAACGGATGCTTTGCTCCTCACGTGATGGATCTCGGCGAATAGCGGCGTGGCGGCGCGGGGAAAACAAATGCGCAACTCTGGCTCCCGTAGGGAGCCTATACAGGAACTCTAGCGCCGACCTGGCGCCGACAGGGTGAAGACATCCATTGTTGCCCTAAATGTGCCAGCGCGTGACGCTCTCGCGCACTCGGTGCGTGACTCGGGCGGTAAAATGGCGTCTATGCATGAGCCAAAGCTACGCGCTCGAGCTGAGCGACACCGGATTGCGCGCACTTCAAGATGCAAAAAAAAAAAAACGATTGGGCGGAAAAATGGCTGAGATGTCACCACGCAAGCAAAAGCGCGCGTGTGTATGAAGGCACTCTAGCGCCGACTAGAGTTCCTGTATATGCTACCTACGGTAGCAGAGTTGCGCATTCAGCCTCGGCGCGTGGCCGTAAAGCCGGCTTTCCCGCACGAGATGGATGCTTTGCTCCTCACGTGACTAAATTTGGCGAATAGCGGCGCCGCGCGCGCCGCCGCGCATGGAAAAAAGGAGAGGAGGAAAAGGAGGCGGAAAGCAGGGAAACATCCGCCGGGGCAAGAGAAACGCCGGCGGAGCGACCGTAAAGGTGGCTTTCTTGCACGCCACCGGATGCTTTGCTCCTCATGTGATGGATCTCGGCGAATAGCGGCGTGGCGGCGCGGGGAAAACAAATGCGCAACTCTGGCTCCCGTAGGGAGCCTATACAGCAACTCTAGCGCCGACGGACACGCAGCGCCATGAGGTGGCCGGTCGTTGAAACTGACGCACAGGGTCAGTTTCAACGACCGGCCACCCCATGGCGCTGCGTGCCCGGCGAATAGGTGCGGCCCGGGTTAGCCGATGGGATCGCAGTGACGTAAAAGGTGCTGTTGGCTGTGGACGCGCGCTAGCCAATGGGATCGAAGTGGTGTAAAAGAGCCGTTTAGTTCTTTCGCTCCATGAAGGGGTGTCCAAACAGGACACTACAAAACGCACGACACCGACAAATCGTGAAAATTGAAGCGGGCTTGAAGCGGGCGCGTCCGCTTCAATTTTCACGATTTGTCGGAGTCGTGCGTTTGGTAGTGTCCTGTTTGGACACCCACTGAGACACATTAAAAGAAAGCCCGTGCGTATACTTTCCCGCACGACACTCGGAGAGCTAATCACCGCAATTTGCGGATGCGCGCTCAGCAAATGACGATGCCAAAACATATGTTTAGACAAAAAAAAAAAAAGACAAAAAAAAAAACGCAGTTTGAGTAGTGACACTAAGCAATGCAAGCGTGACGTTTTGCATTGCTTAATGTCACAATTTAGACTGCGTTTTTTGGTCTAAATATATGTTTCGGCATCGTCATTCACTGAGCTGCCTCCGTAAGTTGCGGTGATTGGCTTTCCAAGTGTTGTGTGGGAAAGTAGACGCACGGGCTTTTTTCTTTTTTTAAAGCGCAGTTAATGCTTTCGCATTAAAAAGCTCGAAATTGGCAGATATTTTTAGGTGCGCTCCGGCATAGCTAGAAGCATGTGTTTGGACTTGCTCGTTTCCTCGAAGCCTGCAAGCGGGTCGGACTCCTGATCCGAGGAGTGTGCCGCGGACCGGTGATACCCGACACCACCCGAGAGACAGGGCTGCGCGGCAGAAGAAACATCCCTCAGAAGAGCGAGGGGAGAGACGTCTTGGGGACCAGCGTCCAGAGCGGACGCGAAATTCGTACGCAGTTGTATTGAAGCTGCGTTCACCAGTTAAATAAATTATGTATTTGTAGACACAACATGCCAATCGATAGACATGGATTTTATTATGAACGAGCACTCTAAACGGGACACAGTTTTGTTTTCGCTTGCAGAGGCAAGATGACGGCGGAACTCTGATATTCTCCCAAAAAATATGGACTCAAAAGCTCAAACTTGGTGAAACAACTTATTAATATCTGCATAACGTCTTTAGCAATCATTATAGAATCTGCACTTGCTTAAAGCGCAAAGTGCGACAAAGCGTAACTGGTTCAATTTACTGCTCTTTTTAAAAGTGTCCCCCCCACCCCACCCTCCCCACCAAAACAACAAAAAATACTAGATTTGTTTTCTTGCTTTTCTTCGCAAAAATAAACTACGCATCACGGAACGGTCATTCTCCGCCCGCAAGAGGTCATAACTAGATGCCAAAGTTGCAGCACAACCCGATATTTCCTTCAAAAGTTCTAGGTGATTTTCTAAAATTTTGAATGGGAAAATGGCGGCCGACCGAGTTCTCGAAAACATGGAGCTCCATAGCACCCTTTACCGAAAACGGGCAAAAAATGGGCCCAGTTTTCTCATTGGAAATTTGAGAAAATAACCTGACTTTTGAGAAAATAAACAAAAACAACAACAAAAGAACGGTCACTGCGGAAACTTTGCCATCATGGTTCGAAACTCTGGCGCTTCATCTGGGCGGGGAATAAACGTTCGCAGATCCATAGTTTATTTTAACGGTTAAAAAAAAAAAAAAAAAGAAACACAAAAAATTGTAAATATTGTTTTAAAGGGAAGGGGGGGGGGGGGGTCACGCCAGTAGCTTTCTTTATACTGAAAAGCCTGTCAGACACGAAAAAACAAAAACAAAAAAAAAAACACGCGGTCACGGAAAAAGGGAGAGGAGAAGCGGAGGAAAATGATGCCTACATGGATGGATGGATGGATGGATGGATGAATCCGGCTGAGCCCTTTGGATCGGACGGTAGCTTACTCCACCTAGCCATTTTGTTTTACCATTTAAGCTCAGAATATTTAAATGTGAAAACTATATTTACTCCGCACTGAAACCAAAGTGAGGCCATAAAACCCCTTTACCATCAGTTAATAAGAAAATACCTAGTTTTCTCTCGCTTTCTGCCACCATTCACTTAATCCTACAGTGTCCTCTTAATGGCGCCGCCACCAGCGCGAGTGGTCATATCTGTAAACACTCCAGTCCATTTTCTCTCTCTCTCTTTTTTTTTTTGGGGGGGGGGGGTGGGGGGAAGGGGAAGGAAGGAGAAGTATGACCAGGGTGTCAGATAGACAGGCGGGGAAACGAGAGCCAAATGAGAGACCGGATTGTGTCCCCCTCGGTTTTCTCTTTTTCTGTGGTGCCATCTATGTGGAGCATTGCGAACTCTCACTCCGGGTGGGTGACCGGTGGCGACTGGCTAAACTGACGGAGATGGTTCTTCGTGGACTTTCAATGGAGGAGTGTCGTGCTCTCGGTTTATTTTGCGCACTCTCCCATAAAGTTCCATGCAAATCCGATTCCGATTTTTTTCCTCTCGCCGCAGCGCCATCTGTCGCAAATCGGCGGTCCCCTCAAGCAGACGAGTACACAATCCGGTCACGGCGCTGCGGTAGGCTTCTATCGCTTCTATGGGCCGTTTCCCCATCTGTCTATCTTACATCCTGAGTATGACGTTGGCCTGCATCCTTGCTCTCTCGCTCCGTGCAATGCTCGCCGCCACCGCGTTCGGGAAAGGAGGAGAAAACGAGAGAAACACTAATGAAAGACGTTTACAATTCTCTGTAATGCCGAATTAGAGCGCAGCTCTTGAGGAGGAAAGGAGGATACGGAAGGGAGGGTCACGTGTGACGTCATGAGGGTAATATATTCTCGCTAAACTTAGCCCGAAATTATCTTGCTAAATTTAGCGGAAAAATTTCTCACCACATTTAGTGGAAAAACTTCCCCGCTAAATTTAGGTAAAAACCTTTCTCGGGTTGAGTGGCGTCACATGTGACGTCACGATGGTAAAAGTTTCTTGCTAAATTTAGCGGGAAAAGTTTCCGCAAAGATTAGCGGGAAAAGTTTGGCCGCGTGACGCACACGTGACGTCACTTGAAACGTAATTATGTGGAACGTCCCATAATGCAACGCGCAGTTACGCCGACGGCCACGACGACGCCCACGGCGACGGCGACGGCGCTGAAGCCGGAAACGGGCGCCTTGGCGACCACATTGGCGTCGCGGAGGCCTGCGGCGCGACGGTCGGCGCTGCCGTTTGCCGACCCAAACCAGTTGTCGGCTTCAGCGGCGCGACATACGGCGCCGCAGACAAACGCTCCGTGCGCGGTTCAGAGCTCGGCGCCGCTCGCCACAGGAGAGAGGAGCCAATGGGAGGTGGCGTAGATAGGGACGTCGCGATGCTCAAGCCGGTCCTCGGCGCGTCTTTCATGTTCCGAAGGACGTGTTTCATGTCGTCTGCTCTCCCTATTGCCCCCCGATGCCTTCCCCAATGGAGCGGTTCCTTAAAACTGTGCGACTTTTTCTCTTTTGATATGACAAGACGCAGCCAGACTACCTAGATAAGGACGCTAAGAAGAACCGCTAGAAAATTATAGGAGAGGAATTCGGAATTACAAGTGAGTTTCTCCGTGGCACTTGTTGCATGTCGTCTGTGTTGTGACGGATGTCGTGTTGCTTTGGTGACACTTTCGAAAGTAGCCTTCATCTTTGGCGCGCCGCCGGGGCAGCAAAGTTGGCTCTGGCCTTCTTCTCTAGGAGGTGTTGGTTGGGACGTCGGACAACGGTGCCGGCCGGCGGCGCCGCCGGGCGGCACCGCTGTCCGGCGTTCCCACGCGAGGAATCCACATTGGCTTCCGTTTTGCGGGCTTCACGTGACAACGCATGGCTCTCGCGGTCGCGCGCGCGCCTCTCGTCGGATTTTCCGCTCTTTCGTCGTCTGCTCTTCGTTAGATTCCTCCGTTTCGGCTCTCATCTTTCGCATATATCAGCATCGAAAGTGCACTCGCTGCCTGGATTCTAGGTGTCCACAATGACCTGGTGATCAGCGTGAATGTGATTATCCTAGCCTGCTCGTTGATCTTGCGACGTCGCCGCGCTCTGAGGGGAAGGGTTTTGGGTCCGGCCGAGTTGGTTCCACCGAAACACCAAAGGAAAGGTCAGTGCTTTGCAGCCCCAGCGGCGCGCCAGAGATGAAGGCCACTTTCGAAAGTGTCACCAAATCAACACGACACCTCTCACAACACAGACGACATGCAACAGGTACCACGGAGAAACTCACTTGTAATTCCGAATTCCTTTCCTATAATTACCTAGCGGTTGTTCTTAGCGTCCTTATCTAGGTAGTCTGGCTGCGTCTTGTCATATAAAAAGGGAAATAGCCACACAGCTTCAAGTAATCACTCCGTTCGGGAAGGCATCGGGAGGAATAGGGATAGCAGACGACACGAAACCGTCCTTCGGAACCTGAAAGACCTGCGGAGAACCGGCTTGAGTGTTGCCATGGCATCGCAACGTCACTATCTACGCCACCTCCCATTGGCTCCTCTCTTCTGCGGCGCGGAGCGGCGAGCTCTAAACCGCGCAAGGAGCAGCTGTTGGCTCTGCGGCGCCGTACGTCGCGCCGTTGAAGCCGAAAAACCGGTCTGGTCGGCAGACGGCCGGGCCGACCGTCGCGCCGCAGGCCTCCGCGACGCTAGTGTGGTTTTTGGGGAGAGGCCGCTGCGCTGGAGCTGATAAAAGATCGCCCCCTGCGACACCATTGCGTTCGCCGGTCTGCCGCTTCTCTCCCTTTTCAGGCGACCGGGCGCTCTATTCGTCCGTCGCCAATTTGATGGGCTTTCCTGTGCCTAGGAGGCTATGGCACGTTATATTGCTTGCTGCTCCGGTGCCTTGCTCATCTGATTCGGTGCAGGCTCGATTGCCTTACTTGTTGTCGAGGGGAATTATCTATGTTAATAAAAGCACCCAATGGTTGTTATCACTTCGGTCATAATGGTCTCAGTTCATAACATGAAAAGCGCGGAGAAACAAAAAGAGCCGGAGACGAGAGCGCGCAAGGACGTCAGAAAGACGAACCCTGACAGGAATGATTAGCGGGTAGGCGCAAAGCTAAATAGCTGCCTTTGTTTCTACTCGCTGTGTAAACGCGTTCAAACGCGAACGCCAAACGCCAGCGTTCGGCAATCGAACGCATTCGAACAGCGTGTAGAGAGAGACAAAGGCTTTGCCTCTAGTCACTAATCCCTCCAACCAGAGCTCGGCGTTCTGACCTGCCCGCGAGCTTTTGTCTCTCCCTTTTCTTCGGTTTCTCGTCGCATAAATATTCAATGTTTGAGGGAACCACTTGCTGCATAAAGACTGCGATCGAAGCGTATACATATAAGTAAAAAACTAGAGATCTCAGACATCCACTTTCCGCCGGTTTCTTTGCAGCGTAACACGTATAAGTTATAACAAAAAAACCGAAAATATATTTGGAGAAATAAAGACAAATCATTCTTACTATTCAGTGGCCTTTGGAGCTCACTTGCGGTCAGCGTGGATCTGGGTTGGGACGCTTTTGAACGCACTATCTGGCGGCTGCCGCCGGAAGTCCCTCACCCCGCATGTGACAGACTTTGCGCCCTCGAGCAACCGCCGGCGAAAGGCGTCCCGTGCGAAGATAGGACATCCCCCGTGAATGCCAGATAACAGCTTATACAAGGTGATCGAGGGGCCAAGAGACACAGCGGCGCTGATAGCGATAAGGAGACCGTTGCACTTGATTTGCTACGTCACCTTTCTGGAGGCCAAAGCCCACACCACCTAGTAGAACAAGTCAAGGCCTGCGAACACCCTCCTCTTCCTCCGTGGAACGTCACCTCAGTTGGACTGCACCAGCGCAGCAATTGGACCCGAGTCCGGTTCCAAGCGTTCTTCGAAGCGTTGATTGAATGCGAGGCCCAGCCCAACGATGACGCAGCACTCGTGACCAATCTGTGCCACGCGCAGGCCGCCAGCAGGTGACGCGAAAAATCAAGCGCAACGGCCTTTTTATGCAGAGGTGTTGCGCTAAACCGAACACGAACGTTGGCGAGCTAGACTGAGCGCTGACAGGGGCCATAAAAGATGGAAGCGGCGAAGTGACCCCCGCAACCATAAAGCTTATGGCATGGGCGACCCTCGGTGTGTGTCGTTTGTTTGGTACTTATCGTCGCGTCTGTCGCATTGTTAGCCGTGGGAGTACGAGACGGAAATAGGGAAGTGGTTATGGTAACGCAGATAGGCGTTCGGTGCTACGTCGCGTGCAAAGGTATAATAACTTCCCATATATCGTGCCTAAAACGAAACTTGGCCCGGTTTACTCGATGTAAGGACTAAGGCTAAAGGTTCATACGCACATTCGCGTTTGAACGCGTTTGAGTGCGTCGCGGAGTCCTTGCGGTCAGGCGCGGTCGCTTGCGGAGCGACGCGCGTCTTCCCGCAACGCTCGGTAGCGCGACGCAAGCGAGTAGAGACTCACTCAACTTTCCGAAGCGTTGCGGTGCGTTCGGGTGCGTTCGGCCAATCAGGAGCCGAAAGAGGAGAGGGGGTGATGTGTTCGCTCGCCCCACCCGGCCGACTCGGTGAAACGTATCCGGTTCGCCGGTCGCAGAGCTTGCTTTTCCTTTTGGGGAGCGGTGGGGACTGTATTTTCCAAGGCTGCGATGGTTCAAGCTTTACAAAACGTCGGGGAAGCCAGCGGGATTGTCCCAAGATCGAACACTTCGACGCTGTCGCTGTGCGCCGCCATGTTGCCTTGGATTTCGCTTACTATTGGTGAGCCACTAGAGACGATAGCGCGTTCTTATTGGCTCTTGACTGCGGTTGACTGCGTGTCAACACAACTGTGCGTACAAGTTTGGCGCAAGCGGTCTTCGCAACGCAACGCGTCCGCTTGCCGCTACGGAACGCACCGCGCTCAAACGCGAATGTGCGTATGGGCCTTGATGATCCCTTCGTGCAATTGAGCGTCTCTTGTTTACGAGGTGTACATTTATTTTGTCGGTACTGTCTACGGACCATTCTTCGTTCACTCTCTCTTCCACATATCTGACATAAAAGAAACTAACATATCCGACATAAAAGAAAAGATCTACAACAGCGAGACAACCAAACGAGTAAAAAAATAAATAAAAGAGGATGCGTAACCGTTACGTTTGAAACGTGAACACCTCGCGGGGGCGTAACGAGAGCGAAACAACGTACCTCCGCGTACCGGAAGCTTTGCCATCAAAGCCCCGGTCGCGCGACTAACACATCATACAAAAGACAGTCTGCAGACGTTTCCTGAGGCGTGCGTCTTTATTTGCCTGGATGTCCTGCCATCGTACAAAAACTGAGACATCTTCGAGCATAAATATGCGCATTAATGTCGCATGCATGCAGTCAGGGCTTGTGGTTTGGGCGCCGTGGGACCCGGGAAGGCAGGGAGCCAGCCTTTTGGGGGGAAAGCGTTTTATTCCGGTTCGAAGTCGTGCTTGCACCAGCTCCAGCCCACCGCGTTCCTTTTTTCTCCTCGTGCACCGTCTCCAGCCTCGGTCCTTTCGTCGTCACTTCGTCTTTTTCTCGTCGCACCAATCAGCGCACACCACGGGTAACAAAAATATAAAAATCACTAAGCCCGATAACCCGTCGGCGACGGCGCGCGCTGAATCCGCTGCCTCGTGCATGCCACATGCATGACACGCCCCCCCCCCCCCCTTTTTTTTTTCTTTTCCCATAAAAAAATCACAATTTGTGTATTCCTTTACAATCGTAGCATTTAGAACAAAAGAAAACGAACTGCGCGCACATTCCCGTCCATTCGGCGTGAATGATCACTAGAAAGACTGACAAACTTCTTGAGAACATCTAAAGTACATTAACCACAAACAAAACTCCACCCGGCTACAGTCTTGACAACGCATCAGCAGGGACATTTCTCGTCCCTTTTACGTACCGGACATTCAGGTTAAATATTTGCAACGCTAGCACCTAACAAGTCAGCCTCGCACTATTTGGTGCTGCTGACGCCAAATACTGCAAAGGGTTATGGTCGGTGCGAATTTCGACCTCCGCCCCAAATAGCCGCGTTTCCAACTGACCCAAGGCCCACACAATCGCGTAAGCTTCGCGTTCGATTACAGCCCACCGGGTTTGGGGATCAGTTAGTTTTTTACTGAGAAACGCCACCGGGTACTCTTTCCCATCACCTGCCCTTTGGGCAAGACATGCCCCTATAGCTCTATCCGATGCGTCGGTGGACAGAACAAAAGGCTGGCTGGCATCTGGTGCTCTCATAACCGGAGCTTCCATCAGGAGACACTTTGCCTTTTGAAACGCTTGTTCCTCCTCGTCACCCCAGGGTAACACGTTCGGAGTCCAGTCTCCAGTTCGCGCGGTCAACGGCAACACCACTTCAGCATAGTTCGCAATGTAGTCTCTATAGTAGTTCATTAGCCCTAAAAAGCTCTTCAGTTCTTTCTTCGTCTTTGGCCTCTCCATGATCTGAATCGCCTTGATACGAACGGGGTCAGGAGCATGCCTCCCAGAGCCGATCTGGTGGCCGAGGTACATGACCATTCCCTGGGCAAACCTGCATTTGGACAGCTTCACCGTAAGCCCCACGCGACTTAAGGTTTCGAGAACGCTTTTTACATGCAAAAGGTGGTCTTCCCACTTAGAAGAATATATTGCAATGTCATCGATATATGCGCCTGCATATTCTCTGTGAAGACCACCTTTTGCATGTAAAAAGCGTTCTCGAAACCTTAAGTCGCGTGGGGCTTACGGTGAAGCTGTCCAAATGCAGGTTTGCCCAGGGAATGGTCATGTACCTCGGCCACCAGATTGGCTCTAGGAGGCATGCTCCTGACCCCGTTCGTATCAAGGCGATTCAGATTATGGAGAGGCCAAAGACGAAGAAAGAACTGAAGAGCTGTTCAAAGCATGACACATGCTTTGAACAGGCTTGTGGCGCGACAGCAAATAATTCTGTCATCGAGCATACAATGAACGCCGTGGTATTTGTATTATGTATGAACAGTGTGACTGGGCTTAAAGATGGCGACAGCAGCGTAGAAAACACGGAGGTAGGTTGCTTCTGGGGGACGCGACCAGAGGTGAAGCCACAAGTGTGGAGGAACAGGCCCCCAACGATGACCAAAACCACAGTTGTATTGGTCAACCTCGGGTGTCACCCGAGGGTGACCAAAACAGCTGTGGTTTTGGTCATCACTGGAAGCGTGTCCCTCCATACTTCTGGCTTCACCTCTGGTCGCGTCCTCCAGAAGCATCCTACCTCCGTGTTGGAAACGCTCTGAAGTTCTCCAGACATCTGGTTCTGCAACTTTTGCTCGAGGGTAATTTCGGCGAAACAAAAAGTGCTCGCTTGAAAACGTAGTGACAGTGGCAACCGATTCAAAGGTAATGACATCACTTCTGTGCCACGGTGCGCACAGATTAATGCGTACACGAACAATGGGCATTCGATTTCTCTGTGAGTGGACATCCCGGAGGCAGTTCCAGTCGTAAGCACAGACCGCAGCCGAAACGCAGAGGCTGCACGAAAAACGACGGAAATTCGCTCGGTGTGGCTCTTGCTGCAACAGATAGCCTGCTAAAACGTCGGTGGTATCATTGTTCTTGCCGGGGATAGTAGCGACTCCGACCTGACTTCGACGTAATAATGTGGTCATAGTCAGATTATGTTTCACTGAAGATATATAGTTCATTTATTCAGGTTGTTTAAACGGAGCGCCCTTTTCTTCGGAATACTGCTATGCATCTGTTACAAGGCTTTAGCGTGATATCCAACTCTCAACAGTCATAATTTATTTCCTTTCTTTCTCTTTTTGTTTTTCAAGTGTAACGCCTAAGGGGGTATAGTTACGCGGAGGATGACTGCCGAGCTGCGGTGCTCTTATAAGGGGACGCACAAAACCACAAAAAAAGTACTGAAAAAGAATTTCCGTCTTCCAGGTGTTGGGACGCATTATAAACAAACGAGAGTGGCAGGATGGGGAATGTTCGAGCAATGGTGAGTCAGGTCTCGGTTACTGATGAAAGTCGGTGCCGGCTCGTCAACCTACGTGAATGTTACTAACGCAGAAAAAACAAAATAAAAACTCGAGGCGTGGTTGTTGGGCTGGATGGAAGCTCTTTCAGATACATGTTATTTTTACGGCGAAATCCCAGTGTCCTGATGTAATGTGAGGTCTCGAATCGAGGAAGCGACAGCGCTGCGTTTGGGAAAAAAAAAAAAGGTGGGATTCGACAGAGAAAGGAACTAAATCCTTGAAGAGCGTTTTCACTTTAATGGCGGACGCATCTTGCCCAGATTGAGTGCACGTGCGCGTGCGCGCATTCTGATTGGTGATGAAGGTTGTAAGCTGAGACGCTTGCAGGCGATGGACGTGTTCGTCTCCTGCTCGCAGCTTTTATCGAAAACGCGGCCAGGCTTTCGCTTTGCGTTACCTCGATTAAATCGCAAGGTATGACGACGATTTCGCCCCGTTTTCCAGATTGTCTTTGGATTCTGCCCGTTCTTAAGCCTGAAACGAACGCGGTAACTGTCGACATGACAGCGCCTTGCGAATGCTAGTGGCGTGTCTTGCCCTGATTGCGCGCAAGAACGAAGACAGGGAAAATGAA